GAATGTTTCCAGCACATCACTTTGCTCCAGTAATAGCCATGCCCTTGGGATTCTACAGAGCTCCTGGACATCCAGAGCCCTCCTCAGTGGGCTGAGCATGGAATTGTGTTTGCAGAAAGATTCTGTTTGTTTCCCACTTCCTGCACAGCCTTGGAATGCTGTTCCCTGCCAGGACAGGAGGATGTTTCCCTTTTGTCCCACCACCCTTCCAGACCAGGTGGAGAGGCCAGGATGGGTGGAGGGAGACAGACTGGTGGGACCATTACCTAGCTCCCTGGCCCTGGGGAAAGGGTTGTGCCCTGGTTGGGTGGCAAAGGGGGTGGTAATGGGGATGCTGCCACCAGGACAGGGATTGATCCACAGGGCTGTATCTGGCACGAAAGGGGCTTTGTGGCAGTGCCCCACTGTGCTCCACAGCTTCTGGCCCTTCCCAGCAGGCTTAACAGGGAGCTTGATGTTCCAAAGAGGATTAACTCCCTAATCCTCTTGTGAGCAAGGGAGGCTGCAGAGGAGGGAGAAAGGGAGAAGCTGAGGCATCAGCCGAGCCCCTGTCAGACTCTGGAGAATCTTTTCCATTGGTTAGCAACCAGCAGCAGGGATTCTGGGGTGTCCATGCTGGCCAGAGGACAGAGCTGGGTCAGTTTTAGGGACCAGAGTAGCTACAGCTTTCCTTTCTGGAGGGAGTTCTGTGATTTCTGAAGAGGAGCTGAGTTCTTGCTCTCACCTCCATGGAACCAAGTTTAGGAAGCCCCAGCCCAGTCTCAGTCTGTGTGTGGGATCAGACTCCAAGAGCTCTGTCCCCCAGTGTCCCCAGTGCCTGCGTGTCCCCAGGCGGACACCGCAAACATTCCACGGACAGTGGGGGAGTGCAGCCAGGACAGATCGTGTTTTCTGTGTATAGATGCGCAGTGGATGCTCCAGCTTCCCACCGAAACCTCTTGCACAGTCCTGGGGTACGACTTTCCCTTGCAGACACACACAGCCACGGAGCATTCCGGCTGTTCGGTGATCCGTGTCCATCATTCCCGGTTGTTCGGACAGACGGGGCCGCCTGGTGTCCGCACAAAGCAATGACCAGCCCGACTCCCGCTTCATCCCTGTCCCTCTCCTCATCGTCCCCTCGGTCCCAGCAAACCCCCGCAGCCCTTGGCCACAACCTTCTTGTGCTGAGTGGTGTGGAGCAGGCTGGGGGCTGCCGGGATCCTCGGGGCTGGAGGGCTCTGGTGTCCCGCAGGGACCAGAGCCACAGGAGGGTATTGCAGCCCCACAACTGACACTGGACTGACACTGTGGACTTTTGGGTCCCCCACGCTCTTCCCAGTAACAGAGCTGTGCCCTAGGTGGGGAAATATTCTCAGTGGATGGGTTTGGGCTGTTTTCCCAAAAATCTGTGATTTGGTAGCAATGACCTTGACTCCTCCTGTGGGATCTCCTGTTGGCTCCCTGCACACGTGTAGTGTGCCAGGCAGGCACCGTGCCTGTCTCCCTGGGCACAGGTACTGGCAGAGACCCAGGGCTTGTGTGCTCCTTGTGGACACACATCCAAGAGCTGCTGCCCCTACGCCAGGGGAGGAAAAGCCACAAGGGATAAAGTTTTCCACTTATACCTGCAAGGAATGTAATCCAGGAAAGCCTGAACTGAATCCAACCTCTCTTTCCCTTGATCCACCTCTGGCAGCAGCAGGCTGACCATGCCCTTGAACCCTGCAGCTCCCGGTGCTGGTGTGGGCATGGGCTGTGCCAGGGCTCTGCCATGACACTGGACTCTCCTGGGGTCCAGGACGGCTTCTGAACAGCTTGTGACAGAGCCACGGTCCTGGAAAGGTGAACGGGAGCCCCAGGGCCAGGCTGTGTTTGTTTATCCTGGTGATGGAGCACACAACAGCGAAACAAAAGGTCAGACCCTGTTGCCCTGGGAGATGGTTTTTGAAGCTGCCTCCTGTCCTGCTGGGGCTCGGATGGAGCAGCCCCAATGCTTGTCATGGCAAGTTATTTTTGTAATTTTGGCTGGTAATAGGTCTGAGGCAAGCAGTGTGAGGTTCAGGGATACATTGATCCAGGACCAGAAGGGCCCTAAACACCTGGTGAGAGGAGCACCAGCCCTGGGGCTTTGGAGGCAGATCCCCATCCCACAGCTCCTGCAGCCAGATGGACCCAAACCCTTCCTTAGTCCTAAGGGAGGCACATGCAGCCCCTCCAAGCATCCCCAAAGGTGGCTGAGTCTGACCAAAACTTCACTCATATTCAGTCCCTCTGAATAAGGAACAGACACAAACTTCTTCACGACTTAGCCAGGTTTAAGGTGGGTGGTTTGAGCCCGCTGTGGGCAAAAGCAGAGAGGGCACTCTCAGGAAGCACTGTCAGGAATCACTGCCAGGGAGGGAGGGCAGGTTCTGAGCAGCAGCAGGCTGCTCTGCTAACTCTGCTTTTACTCCCTCTTTGTTGGGGCAGAACTAATAAATGTTCATCAACTCCAAGCACGGTTTTGTCCAGCTGTGGGGAGCCTGGGTTGAGCAGCATGGAGATGGAAAGGGGAGCTGTTCCAGCAGTCCTGGCTGATCTGCCTCTTCTAGAGATGCTTCTCCATCACTGCATCTCAAAACCTGACATGGCAAAATTCACCAGTCTCCATTAGTGGGGAGACTGAGGCACACACCTGCACTGTGCCCAGGCTGGGGCACAGGGGGAGGCAGTGGAGAAGCTGTGAGGAGCTCTGATTCACCATGTGAGTGTCCCTGTCCCACCCCAGCAGCTGCCAAGGGTGAGGAGCAGCAAATCAGCCCTTTTGCCTCTACATAAAAGCCCCAAATCCCCCGTGCAGCTGGCAGGAGCAGGCAGGTGGGACACAGACTGATCCTGGGGGAAAGACACCTTGTCTCAGGGCAAGAGACCAGCAGGAAGTAAAAACCATGTAGATCAGCCCCTGTCTTGCTGCTTCTGGTTGTCAGCACAAGGAGCTCTTGTGTTTACCCAGACTTCAGGGCAATCACCCGTCACTAACAACACAACATCCCTTGGTCCCACTGCCCTGAGCCCGGCAAGGGAACAGGACAGAGCCGGTGGGAGGCCAGCGCTGCCAGGGAAGGACAGGCAGCCCCCAGGACAGCAGGACTAAGGTACAGCGTCTGTGGTGCTGGGCTTGTATCCAGGCTTGTATCCTGAGCTGTGTGGGGTACAGCACCAGAGCCCTCTTCTTGGGTTTGGACCCCAAGCAGCTCAAGCTAGGCTCAGGACACACCATCCACGGTCTGAAGGCAGCTTTGGGTGGCCAGTGCCTGGGAAGCAAGGTGGATGCTCCTGATGAGGGGTATGTGGCAGCTGGCACACCATCTCCCTGGCAGTCACTCAGTTTCTCCATCTGTAAAATCCAGATTACTGGATTGAGGACTCTGTCCAGCTCTGAAAGAGGACCCTGACAAGCAGTCCTGGGGTATGGAGGACTTGTTTCCACCAAGCAGATCTCTGCTGCTGGAGACACAAGGGAAGAAATAACCACCATGGGGAAAAAAAATCTGTTCCCAGGCCCCAAAACAGCAGAAATTGGACTTCCTCTGTATTCTCTCATTCCCATTATTGTGTATTTGCATTTGGTAATGCTGCAATTATTCAGGGATGCCTTTTAAATAGTTGTAGTATTTGCACATGAGATGGACCATTTGGCACTGTATGCCTTAGCTTTCTCCAACTGTGGTCTGGGGAAATGTCACTTTGGTGAACAGCATAAGGCACATAATCCAGGCAATCACGGGACATGGGGCAATAAAAGTGGAGTGATGGCTTGCAAACAACTCAAAACAGCCAAGTGTGCCCATTATAATATTAATTATAACCACATTAAAAGCAAAGTAAAGCTGTGCCTCTCCAGGAGCTTTAACGAGTTCATATTTCTCTTAACATTTCCCTTGACAGCTCCTGGCTGTGTGTCATAAGCCATGCTCCAGCCAGGCCTGGGGAGGACATAGCAAAGCTGGGCTCCCATTGTTGTCTGGTTTTAAAAGAGAGGGAGAGTGTGCAAAAGAGAAATTTGTGTTCTCATGGTGGCTCTCTTATCTGAAAAACTGGTGAAGATTGAATGTATCTTTCAGAGCAGAACCTCCCCTTTTCCTCCTGACAAGTTGTTGGCTACTTCAATAATAACTTGATGAGCAGGTGCTGATCTCTGCTCCCTGTGATGGGGACAGGATCCAAGGGGATGGCTGAAGCTGTGTCAGGGGAGGTTTAGGTTGAATATCAGGGAAAGGTTCTTCCCCCAGAGGTGCTGGCACTGCCCAGGCTCCCCAGGGAATGGGCACAGCCCCGAGGCTGCCAGAGCTCCAGGAGTGTTTGGACAGCGCTCCCAGGGATGGACAGGATGGGATTGTTGGGGTGTCTGTGCAGGGCTGGGATGATTCTTGTGGGCCCCTTCCAACTCAGGATACTCTGTGATTCTTTTAAACTATTTTGATGGGAAAGGGGCTGCCCTGAGCAAAGACATGCACTGGCCACATTTGACATCTGACTTGTGGGAGTCAAGGAACGGTCACCCTGAGTGACTCAAGTGTTATCATGGATTGAGCTTGGTTTGGAGAGATGAGACTCACAGAAAATAGGGGTAATGAGTGTTAAAGACCTGAAAGAAGCCACTGTCTTGGGAACTGGAGAGTCTGAGGCCCCATTCAATATGTTCACACACAGGGCTTACCTCTACACAGAAATCTTCAGGCCACACCTGACACCAGCTGAGCTGTTGGAGCTGTTGGAGGTTTTTGGTTTGTTCCTCCAGCTGCGGATCCAGCTTACTGACCCCTTCATTTCTGTGCCATGGTCCATGTTTGTCTTTATTTCATAAACAGCTGACAATAAAGTGATGTGGTCTCTCTGGCATGAAGCAAATCCAGACTAGCATCAACATCTTGACCCTGGGTAGATAGCAAGCACTATAGCATGGCCCCAGAGATGGCAGCAGGCAGGGACAGTCATGGTCCTAACTGCTTCCCCCAAACAGGGACAAGAGATTTGTCATGGACTACATGCTGGAGACCAGCCAGCTAAAGCAGAAGCTTCTGAAAACCATCTACAGCCTCCAGGTGAAGTCATTCACCACACTGCAGTCAGCCAGCCCGCTGCTGCACAGCCAGCGTGGCATGGGCATGGTGACCCAGCACCAGGTCCACCAGCTGGCAGATAAGGCCAAAAGCCTGTGTGGAGACCTGGACAACATCAAGAACCTCCTCCACTATTGCCAGGATGACTTGGTCCGGCAGATTCCCAACCCCAGTGGCAGCCGCTATGGAGGTGTCAGTGGAATCCATTGCTCCCTGGATGGCTCCATCTACGTGACAGCTGAGAGTGCTCCCTGGGTCCACGTCCTCAGCAGCACAGGCCACACACGGCAGTCCCTGCCCTGCCAGCAAGCGGGCAAGGGAGGCAGCATTTTCTTGCCAGAAGATGTGACTGTGACTAGGATGGGAATGGTGGCTGTAACTGACGTGGTGAATGAAGCCATCTGGGTCTTCAACCCTCACACCAGCCTCTCCAAGGGGGAATGGATAAAGATCAGGAAGGTTGGTTCCCCCAGGGGTATTGGAGTAGACTCCATGGGCAACATCCTGGTAGCAGACTATGCACAGGGCCAAGTGCACAGCTTTGCTCTGGACTATGCCTTCAGGACAGTCAATGTCCACTCTGTCCCCAATCTGCAGGGACCTCGTTATGTCAGTCCGGTGCCCAGTGGAGGCTTTGTGGTGAGCGAGGAGTGTGGAGATGTCAAGGTCTTCATGAGCAGCCATAAGCTCCTCTGCTCCCTCAGCAGCAAATATGGACACCAGTTTGGCAACCCTGCTGGGGTTTGCGTGGACACGGACGGCAGCATCCTGGTGGCAGACGAGCAGCGCCGCACAGTCCACTTGTTCCCAGAGAATGGAGCTCCCATCTGCCTGGTGTCCACAGGGCTGCGGAGGCCCGCTGGCATGGCTTGCTCCTCCTCTGGACACCTCTTTGTGACAGACACAGTGGAGAACTGTGTCAAAGTCTTTAAGTATTGTGTGAGGCCCCCATACAGACCCACCAATGCTGGGGCACCATGTGCTGACCCCAACCAAACACACAGGTGGGGAGGGGGGGTGGTTCCCCTGCAGCCCCACTGAGCTGTGCATCTGTTGGTGGGCTGAGAGCTCCACTGCTCTCACAGATTCGTGTAACGGAATCATGGAATGGTTTGGGAGGAACCATAAAGACCATCTCATGGCAGGGACACCTTCCACTATCCCAGGTTGCTTCAAGCCCTGTCCAACCTGGCCTTGGACATTTCCAGGGAAGGGACATTGCCCCAGACCTGACTGCCTGATGGCCCCCAGCTTCTCCAGGACTAGAACAGCTCTGGACTCACCAGAGTATGTAAAGGATGACCCAGATACTCAGAATTTGCCTTGCATTGGTGCCTTGGCAAACTTGTTATCACCACATCCACAATTCCTTGTATGTTTTCCAAAGCTGATATAAATATTTCTCCTCCCTCCATGAAAATTTGATGTGCCATGGTCCTATCTTCCTGATGCCAGAGCATGACTGGAGAGGTTAAGGCCATGCCAGAAGTCCATGGAATCACACAATGGTTTAGATTGGGTCCTTAAAGATCACCTAGATCTACACCCTGCCATGAATGAGTAGGGACACCTTCCTCTAGGTCAGGTTGTTCCAAGCCCTGTCCAGCCTGCCATAACTGAGCCAACTGGTCTGTCCTAATTCATTCCCAGGCTATTAGGGGGGATTTTGCAATTGGAGAACAGCACACTGGGTCTGCAGCAGACTTCAGGAAAAGGGTGAGATGAAGGTAACTCCTTCTGTGCTGCATTCCTGACCTCTACAGGGAAGCAACAACCACTGCACAGAGTAAATTCCATATGGAAACGTGGAACTCCTCACACTGCCCCACATCCTGGGGCTGGAGCTGCCCTGTTGTCCTCAGGAGAGGAGGGACCAGAGCCACGTCCACTGCCTTTATCAGCAGGGGCCAGGGGAAGGCGGGCAGGGTGTGCCGACACAAGGATGGGCGTTTTCCTCTCCGTGCTCCAGCCCTCGGTGTGGGCATGGAGCCCGACTCCTGGGTCTCTGCTGATGTCCCAGACCCAAGTCACTGCCTCTGATCCCAAAGAGAGCCTTGCTCCCTTCTGGCCCTGGGACAGGCACTGAACACAACAGACTGCTCGTGGTGCCCTCCAGGACCCCCCTCCCTGCAGACTGAGGCAGGGGTGGGGCTGCAGGGTCTGCAGGAACAGGGGGCTCAGCCTGTCCCATCCCGGGAAGCTGAGCTCCCTCCCAGAAGACCAAATCTCCCCCACCTTATTTCCAATTCTGTGGCATCCAACAACGAAAGTACATCCAACAAAAACAAACCTTTTCTCTAGCCCACCCCCACCTGCTCTCCCTTTCCATGTGGGACCTTCTTATGCTGCCCAGCATCTTCCCAAGCTCCCTGACCCAAGCCCACTGCCAGATCACAGGACAAAACTCTTGGGCACTTGTTGACACCCGTGGGCCTCTGCTAGGCCAGGCATCCACCGAGGTGCTCAGGATGGGGGTCAAGAGCGTCCCATCAGCACAGCCGAGCCCCTCACCAGTGGCATGGGAGACAACAGGGTTCCCTGAGGAAAGGTGAGTCCCTGAACTTTGGGGATTGCGGTCCCACTACAGGGATGAAGGACAATGGGGTCCCGCATGGAAAGGCGAGTGCCTGGCCTGTGGGATGAGCGACAGCAGGGTCCCGTGAGAACAGTGGAGCCCCTCGATTCTGGGAACAGCAGGGTCCTGTGAGGACAGATGAGCCCCTGGCCTGTGGGGATGGAGCCAACAGCGTTCGGTGAACACAGGCGAGCCCCTGGCCCCGCTCCAGCCCGGGCGGTGGCAGGGCAGGCGGGGGCACTGCCGCTCCTTATCGCGCTCCTTATCGCTCCGCTCAGGCGGCCCCGCCGCTCTCGGGGCCCGCGGGAAGGAGCCGGGACGAGCCTGGGGAGCGGCGCTGCCGGGAGCGGGGCCGGCGGTGCCGGACAGGCCGGGAGCGGTGCCGGACAGGCCGGGAGCGGGGCCCGACAGGCCGGGAGCCGGGGATCCGGGGCATCGCGGAACGCGGGCGGCGGGTGGCGGCGCCGGCCGGGCCCGTCCCGCTGCACGGCCCGGCGGCAGCGGCGTCTCCGAGCAACCGCGGGCGGAAGCGGCGGAACGGAGCGGGCGGTAGGAGCGGGGCGGGCCGGGCCGGGCTCGGGGCCTGCGCGGGCACCGGGGAGGCCCCGCCGGGCCGGGGGGAGCGCCAGGCCCCTCGGGACACTGAGGGGCTGGAGCGTGTCCAGGGAAGGGAACAGAGCTGGGAAGGGGCTGGAGCAGCAGCAGCAGCTGAGGGAGCTGGAAAGGGGCTCAGCCTGGAGAAAAGGAGGCTCAGGGGGCCCTTCTGGCTCTGCACAACTCCCTGACAGGAGGGGACAGTGGGACGGGGGGGACGGGGAAGGTGTCGGGCTGTGCTCCCAGGGAACGAGGGACAGGAAAAGGGGATGTGGCTTTAAGTTGTGCCAGGAGAGGTTTAATTTGTGTATTGCTAGGATAGATGGGGAAATTTCTTCACGCAGAGCATGGTCAGGCACTGTCACAGGCTGCCCAGGTCAGTGGTGGAACGCCAGCCCTGGAAGTGTTCAAAAAGCTGTGTGCATGTGGCACTTGAGGGTATGGTTTAGTGGTGGTGGTGCTGATGCTGGGGTAATGACTGGACTTGATGGTCTTAGAGGGCTTTTCCAGCCTTTACAATTCCACGGTTCCATGATTCTTTATATCCTGGCCCTAACCACCCTGTAAGGAGCGTGGGATGCTCAGGTGTGGGTCTGCTGTAGGGTCAGTCCCTCTCAGTCCCCTGTGGCCACAGGACAGCCTCTGGGGTCAGACCATGGCCACATCCTGCCATTCACCTTTGCTTTTCTAACAAAAGTTCTGGAATTAATCAGTCGTGGGATCCTGTACTCATTTGTTGGTTGCATTAGCACATTTTAGGTGGTGTTTATTTTGTTCATTTTGGTGACCTGAGATCATTGCACTGGTGCTCTCAGGGAAAGGTGGATGTTTTCAGCAGAAACAGATGGATCTCAAAGATTTTAGGCACTTGATGAACAGGGGCTGCGTGAGCACAGGTAGGATTTTTCGGTTAAAATTAGCAGCAGTGAAGCAGTTGACTGTGATGACATTTGATATTTCAGTGTATTGAAATGAATGAGGTGGATGCATGACAAGTTGTGGATTTGGGAATATGAGACACATTAACATAACAATAGTTGATCAGCCAAGTTTTCAACTATCAAGATATTTTGTACAGCCTGAAAAATCATATCAGAATCTTCTCTGCCATGTCTCCAGCAGCCAAAGTGTATGGATGCTAACTGTGAAGCGGGCAGCATAGTGCCTGTGAAATTGCAGGCCACATAACCTTCTCAGTCTTGCCTGGGAAAGTGGCCTGGGAAATTATAAAGATTTAGATAGAAAACAGCCTTGCAGGTGCTGTTTGTCTGTTCCTTGTTTTCTTGCAAGAGAAAGTCGAGGGGTGGTGAACCCCACTGACCAATGATGGTGATGTGTTAGTTTACTAACCAATAAGAGTTTTCTTTTCTGTACTTTTCATGTATCAGTCTATAAAAAAGACCTGAGGTAATAAACAGGGTGAAATTCTCCAGTTTGACTCCAAAAGAGAGTCTGTGTCATTCTTCTCGCCGTTCCCCATAGAACGACAGAAGTGCAGATCATTTGACCTGAGCTACAGGCAGAGTAGTTGGATACATAAAACCGTGTTAATTTAAAAGGTTGGGAAAAGTGTAAGAGGAAAAATTCACAAACTAGAGAAGATGAGAAGTGTTTCTGCTCCATGAGAAGTTTTCCAGAGGATTGTGGCTATCTCTAAAAACAATCTCAGTGAAAAATAAATGTGTGTATGAAGTCAGTTGACATTTCCTCTCTGAAGTGTCCAGTGGATGGACAGCCGTGCACAGACACTGAGAGTCTCTTGTAGCAATGCTCACAATAACTCTCCCTCCTTCAATGGGAAAAACATCATGGGGCTGTCTTTGATGTTTTTCCTTGGACTGAATTTTCCCTTTTACTGCAGAACTGCAAAGTACATCCCAAGACTTCCCTCTCCTGAGGGATTTTGGCAGTGTGGTGCTGGAAGCACCCAGCACTGGCCCTCACTGCTCCAGAGATCCTCCAATTCCCAGCAAGATCTGGAGGCCACAGAGGGACTTCATTTCTCCCTCTTTGACCAGAGGGATAGCCTCAGAGACATGGAGTCTGTGAGGAAGCAGGATCTCAGAAGAATCATAGATCATAGAATGGTTTGACATGGAAAGGACCTTACACACCATCTCTTGTTCCACCCTCTGCCATGGGCAGGGCCACATTCCACTGTGCCAGGTTGCTCCAAGCCCCGTCCAACCTGGCCTTGGACACTTCCAGGGATGGGGAGTCCACAACTCCCCATTTTACTCCACTGTGAATGATTAACCTCAGAGGTTAATCACTCCTCATAGCTGCTCCTCCATCCCTCCATGCTGTAGGAAATTCCCAGGTGCTGAGCTTTACTGGCTCAGCTCTACTTAGGGAGAGGAAAACAAAGCCACCAGGCCCTTCCCTCTGCGCATCCTCTCTCTGTGTTGTAAATACCCTGTGTGTTCCCTTTCCAACTGACTGGGTCCCTCACAGAGGAGCAGCCTCGGGGGCCTGTGGAGTTTTCACATCCCTAACAAAGCACTGAAGGACGGGAAAGGACAACGGGTGCCGGATGCCGCCTGTTCTGCGCCAGCGCCCTCCTTACTGCAATTATATTCCTGTTAGAAACCTCCACCTTATTTAAAGAGACACTGTCAACTGCCTCAAAGCTCCTTTCTGGAAAAGTCTCCCAAGGCCATTGAGATGTGTTCTTAATGATGGGGAGAAAAGCACTAAAGATAAAGAGCAATGATAAAGCAGAGATGCTTCTCCCTTTTTAGGCTGTTGAATCTAATGAATTAAAACTACTTCAATTAATCGCTATAGTCTCTTCTGACAAAATGATCATCTCAGTTTCCAGATGAGAGGAGTGAGGCAGGAGGAGCTGAGTGATGGAATCAAGGTTGCTCTGTGAGTTTGCTGCAGAGCAGAGCTCTGGGTGGTAAGGTGGTAAAGGAGACTGAATAGCATGAACCAGTGTTTGATTGTTGATAGCAGCAGGAAATTCTCCCCAGAGGCACCATGGTGTGCTGTGCTGTGGTCCCTTCTCTAGGAAGTGCTCCAGCACATCCAGTGTGGGATCCAAGATCTAAGGCTGGGTGAGATCCAGATCTCAGCTAGTCTGATGGGCTGTGCTTATCTGTGTATCACCATGAAAGACCTTCCAGGGACTGGGAGAAGGGCTTTACTGGGAAACTCCAGGCCCACCTTCCCTCACTTCAAGCACTGCAGATCATCAGGAACCTCCTCAATGTGTGTATGGCTGTTGGCTGTCACTAATGTCATTACTCAAGCGGTTGGGCTTAGTGTTTTTGAACATGCTCAATTCCCCTCTCTGGTGGCTTTGGCCAGCTCACATTTTCCTTGCATTTACTCACCATCTTCAAGTTTAATTTCTGTGTTTATTGGCAGGTGTACATCCCTGCAGGGTCACTGCCATGGTGCTGAAGGTGTTCTTTCCATCGTGCTGCTCCTCAGCAGACAGCGGCATTTTGATCGGCCGCTGGATCTCCGAGCAGAGCTCTGCTGTCATCCTGGCTGTGGTGCACTTCCCCTTTATTCCTGTTCAGGTGAAGCAGTACCTTGGGGAGGTTCAGCGTGTGACTAAAGTCAATGTTTCTGTGCTTGGCTCATGGAGCAACAGCAAACAGGAGAAAGAAGAGAGTCTCAGTGAGTTTTTGGAAGACCTTGGGACCATATTCTGCCATGAGCCATGGATCCAGATAAGCAAAGAGGGAGACAGCAAATTCTGGAGCTGTTCTACCCTTCAGAAACACTCGAAGGACCCTCAGAAGGAAGAAGTCATCTTGGTGTACTATGACCAGCGCAAGGTCATGCTTTCCCATCTGCACCCCCCTTTGGACACATCTGGCCAGAGGGCAGAGGATGCCTCAAAGCTCTCGGCCATCTTTGACACGGTGGCCAGGAGCCAGGTGCTGTTCATGACGGATAGGTACGACGAGGGGCCCATCAAGCTGACCCACTGGCAGTCGGATGGGGTGGAGGCCAGTATCATCGTGGAGCTTCTAAAGCAGGCCTCTGTGCCTGCCTGCATGCTGCTGACATTCCTGCTCTCACTGGTCTCAGGGATCTGCAGGAGCAGGTAGGTGATGTGACATCTCCCAGCTTGTTCTGCCTGCAAATGTAGTTCATGTTTAGGCATTGCAGGACTACTGCTCAACCCCAGTGGGAAATGTGATACAAAATTATTCTGTTGGAAACAGGCTGCTGCAAGATGTCCTGTTGGAGTTCCTCTGAAAACACAAGGCCAAAGGCTCCCTCAGAGCTCTTCATGGAGCTGGGAGGTTTTCTGGGGAGACATTCATGTCCTCCCTATTTGCAGCAGGGGTAGTTCAGCCCTGCTTCAGTTTCATCACAGCTGAAAGAGTGGATTTCCAGCTCTTCTGTAGCTGACAGAATGACATGAGGTTCTCCTTAATGGCTTGGAAGCTGGGGAGTCCCTCCTCCCTCTTTGCTGTTAGTCCCTCTGCAGCTGTGAAACATAAGCAAATATGGTTTCTAAATCCATCCTCTCTCCAAGAGACTGTGGTGCTGCAGCCTTGGCACTTAATAGAAGTGTAGAGGGATTGATGGTCAGCCTGAATTCTTGGTGAAAGCCTGTTCTCAAAACCAGGAATCTGAATAGGATGCTCCAAATATAACACATGGCAAGTGCTTGGACTGACAGCTAATTCTGGGCAGATTTGAATCATGGAATCATTTACCTTTGAAAAGCCCTCTAAGATCAAGTCCAGCCATTAACCCAGTGCTGCCAAGGCCATCACTAACCTATGTTTCCAAGTGCCACATGTTTTTTGAATACTTGTAGGGATGGTGATTCCACCACTGCAGCTGCCTGGAGAGGCTGTGACAGAGAAAGGAGTGGAGTTCTGGTTCTAAGCTGCAAGGGGACACTATAATTGATGAAATTTTGATAACAGCTACTACTGTATTCATGGATAAATCTTTTTAAGTACAGCCTAAAGGAATGGAGGTTTTTAACAGGTTTCCAATTGTGTGATACAGTTGTAAAAGAATTACAGTGAAACTCTTGCAAATTTTCTGAGGAGTTGGGTTACACAATTTGGTACACAAAGAGAAAACTGTCCAGTTTTGGATTATTGGAAGAGATTGAGGTTCAAACCTGATATCATCAAGGACCCCTGTGTCCTGGGACTGCTCTGTAGATACTGTGTGTTACTGGTTCTTTATGGTGATTAAATCACAGCTTTGTGGTTGGGCAGATTTGGAGTAAGCTCCAAAGGTCCTTTTTCGTCTGTGCCACCACCACCAGACAGGATGATTCTCTTCTGCACTGGCACTTGGTCTCACTTGGTCTCACCTCAACTGGTGCCAGGACTCAGGCCAGGCTTGGAGTCAGGTTAAGCCCAAGTCTTGCTGGCATCTGAGAGGCTGCAGTCTAAACATAAGCTGGGGGCTCAAGCTCAGCTGACAGGTTGGGCCTAGATAGCTGCTACCCAGCTTCTCAGGAATTCTGACTTCAGCTTTTCCTAAGGCCAGGGTGGATATTTTGAGGTAGAGCAGCAGCCAGCTGTACCTGGCAGCAGGCAGAATGCAAGGCTTGCTGTGCATAAACCTACACTGGGCCTGTCCTTAGCCTTGGGAGGCAGAGCTTTCTCTCTCCTTTGTTTTATTCACCCACAGTATCAGCTTTATATTTACTTATATGTGTTTTAAAACATCAGTCTTGGAGAACAGAGATTAGTACCTGGCTTTATAACAAGTCTCCTGCTTGACCTTTTCTAGGTCATTCAAAGGAATTTGGTTCCATTTTGCACATGATGTGTGGTACAGCCTCCTTCATGCCAGCATACTCGAGGCAGGGAGAGTTCAAGATGTCACATGCAGGTCTCCTTCCAGTGCCCTCCTCCCCATGCTGGGACAGGACATCCCATAAAATAAGATTTACGGGGGTTTTTTCTCCTTCAGGTCACAGGACTTTCTTTCCATTTCTTGTGATGTTAAAGGATAGTCAGCTTTGAAAGGCTAAAGAAAGAGATCAATGTCCTCTGAGGCTGGGGAGGCTTGGGGATTTTTGGATATGCCTCTGTTGTATATTTGCACAGGAGAAGCAGGGCAGCAGTGTTGGAAATCTCAGGGAGTGAGTCACTGCCATCCCTCCAAGCTCACCCAGTGCTCCCAAGTCCTGCACATCCCGAATTAAAGCATTTCTTCAGCACCACCATGTGCTAAGGGGTGGCCATTGCGATTATGCTTCAGAGGAACGTGGGGGCAGCATTCCCATTATCCCTCAAGGTCTCTTCTCTCAGGGACATTAGGGTGTTTTGGTCTTGAGGCAATAAATTATTGAAGCGAAAAAAGTCTCTATAAGCACCTCCAGTTCCTCATCCAAAGGGAGGCATTGCTTCTGCAGTTTCTAGCAAGGAGCAAGAAAACACGCAGGACTTCTGGTTAATGGAGCTTAATATTTGCATGTGATCCAGATTTGGAAAGATTGCTTTTCATCTGATATCTGAAAATTCCCCTCTCACTCTTGGGAGAAAACTGAATTGGAAAATCAAGACTTACTCATGGAGGCTATGTTAATTTATTGCTAAAATTCCATATATTTGGAAATACCCCAAAGATCTCCTGCTGCTTAAATAATGCAATGACACAACATCACTGGATTTTTGTTGGCTTTTTTTATCTGACTAGTTTTCAATTGAAGTTCTGAAAATTGTTCTATATACTGTGTGGTAAACAAGTGGGAGTATTCCTGGCAGTGCACAGTAGATGTGCAAAGGGGTAGGGGACCACTCAAGGAATATTTTTTTGCTTTCTTCCTTAGTCCTCACAGAGAGGAGATTTCCCATAGCACATCTTGCAGCTGCTCTATTGAGCTTTTGCAGTATGTTTGTATTTTTATGTCAATAAGGATGTGTATGTATTTCCTTTCCAAAGAAAGTGTGTGAATGGAATAGAGGTTGTGCTTGTGGTGGTGAGTGAAGAGAGTCAGCACAGACAGGGACCTCCCTGTGATGTGTTTTTGGGCCCATGGTGTCCAGTTGAGGAGCTGAACCACTGCAGGCTGTACAGTGTTGTGATGTGGGGATGAGGCTGCTTTGGGAGTAATTCCCACTTGTGCAAGACATTCCCCATGCAGGCAACAGCAGCCTGTCCTTTCCCTGGCTGGGGTGTCAGACTGGGGGTGACCCAGGGGCTGGCTGCCACCAGCTTGAGGAGCAGCCATGGATGGTGAGAGACACCCACTGCTGAGAGAGGATGGGAACTATCACCCCGTGAGTGTGTAGTGTAGCACAGGGCCCCAGAGCTGCTGCTTTCTGCCTGAGCTGACAGGGTCTGGCAGCTGGTGTTTGACCCGTAATTCTTCACCTTCAGCCATCTGTACATAATCCCACAGGTAGAGCGTTCCTCCTTCCCCTTCTTTACATTTCAAGTGCAATTCTCTGCTCTAGCCAAGTTTTGCCACACCGGAGTTTGTAACCACTGAGCTGGGGCATAATTGGAAGGGAAAACTCATCTGCTCTTGTGTCTTGGTGAATCTGTGAGCCCAGGTGTGTGTGGCCAGAGCAGTCACCCCCCTCTCCCTCTCCTGCACGGTGCTCTTTTCTCCACCGCCTCAGCTCCCTCCTCCTGACAAGTCAGCTGAGGAACAGTGCATTCATTTGTCTCCAAGGTGGGAGGCTGTAGCGCAGAGCTGAGTAACTTGGAGACCTCAAATTAAGAATGATTCACAGTACACTGCGTGTGTTTCAAACCCAATGTGTCTGAAAATTGAATGGGGAGGGAGGGGGAAGGTGGGGACTTCAAGACTCTGATCCTTAAGCTGACAAACTGTGCACGAAGCAGGGTTCAAAGGGCTCGGGAGGATGTGGGGAGGAAGGGGACAGCAGCCTCGGGGAACTGAGCAGCGTTTGGAGGAACCATACCCTTGTGATTGGTGTGAATTGTATAAATTGCAGTGGGCACCCCAGTGTGCCCATCCTGGCCAGTCCTGGAGGCTTCTGGGCATGGGCTGGCATGCTCCGGGTGAAATCCAGGGAAGGCACGCACAGTTTGCAGGGACATCCATCTCCAGGCCATGCTCAGTAATGATCCAAGCAGCTGTGCAATTTTCAAAGTGAAGCAGGATACAAGGAATGATGGTAGTGTGTTAAATGAATGTAACCTGAAAGACCAAAGCAGCACAGGACAGTAGGTGAACTGACTAAAAGTGACTGTGGATTCCTGGACCTGTAATAAAAAACAGTGAAACACAATGAAAATAGTGCAACAACTGCACAGGCTGGTGTAGTGTACTCCTGTGTGCAGGAGAGAAGTGATCTGAGTTATGTCCACATGAGAATTTATCCCCCAAACCAAAAATGGTGCCATATGTTGCTGTGGTTCCTGTGACCAGCCTGCACCCAGTACTGTGTCACTTCAGCCTGCACAAATCACCCACTGTCCTTGCTTTATAGGTTGTGTGGTAACAACAGTAACTCTCCAAAATAATTGAGCATCATTTAGTACTTTTTTTCTGAGTCATAAGAAAAGAACCTTGTGACTGTTTCCTCCCCTACAAGCCTAATGTTAACTTAGAAACCTAACTAAATGCTAAACGTTGTGTTATCTACATAATGCTGGTCACTGCAAGACCGTGGAGAGAAGGCAGAAGTGAAAACCCTGAAAAAGGAGTTTGGAAGTAATAAAGAAAAAAAGGAAGAGAAGGATCAAGCGGAAGAAAAAAGAAAAGAGGGGGAAAAGGGACATAAACTGCATGGAGGACACAGCTCTTTGTTACAGGCTCACACCATACAGAGACTTGTGATCACCTCTGCTCTGGAGCCAGGCTGGGAGAGCTGGGGGTGCTCACCTGGAGAGGAGAAGGCTTGGAGTTCTTAGAGCCCTTTCCAGGGCCTAAAGGGGCTCCAGGAGAGCTGCAGAGGGACTGGGGACAAGGGATGGAGGGACAGGACACAGGGAATGGCTTCCACTGCCAGAGGGCAGGGCTAGATGGGATATTGTGAGGGAATTCCTCTCTGTGAGGGAGGGCAGGCCCTGGCACAGGGTGCCCAGAGAAGCTGTGGCTGCCCCTGGATCCCTGGAAGTGTCCAGGGCCAGGCTGGGGGCTTGGAGCAACCTGGGATAGTGGGAAGTGTCCCTGCCCATGGCAGGGGGTGGAGTGAAATGAGCTTTAAAGTCCCTTCCAACCCAAACCATTCCATGATCTGTGATGAATAACACTGGGGTTTGTGCAGCAGTTACACCGCTTTGTATTGTTGCACTGAGCACAACTTACCTTTGCTCACCTGGAGATTGGAGCATTGTGCAAGCCCAGTGATGTATCCAAAAGCAGAGGTTGGAATCAGGATTGCCTTGTGGCTTCCTTGGAAGAGTGAGACGTGGTTTGACAGAGTGCAAATGAGAGCTTGGGTTGTCTGCATGTCTTGGTCTGGCAAGGCTGCCTTAATTCTGTTAACCTTTCAGAGAGTCATTAACATCTAATCACCAGCTCTGGTTGCACAACCTTAATTTAACACTGGCTGTTTTGCATGAACGTTGGATGCTGCATGGCAAAGGCAAGAGGAGACATTCCCATGTGTTTCTGCAGGCTGCTGAAGCTTTGGCCTTTGTCTTTCTTGTGGAGCAAACTCTCAACTTGTGAGCAGCTGGGACATCGCCTGCAGCACCTCCAGGTCATCAGCAGCAACAAGAAGGCTCAAAACCAAAACCAGCTGATGAGGTATGGAGTACATGTAAAGTTAGAAACTTAGAACCTTAGTTAGGTGTATCTTGGCTCTGTTCCTGTCTCCTGTGGGGAACCCAAACCATGGATCCCATGCCTGGAGAGCATTAGGTCCTCACTGCACCTTATCATGTTGCTCTATTCCCTGCTAGTTTGCACATCTTTACTATGCACTGTATTCATATGCATATATATTTGTGTCTTTAGATGTTAATTATGCCTTTTGCCAGATACTTGCCTTTTCCCCTAGCCCAGGAAAGGCACCCCAAAAACTTGTACTGCACCCATGTGTGAATGCTTTGCTGTCACTACTCCCACAGGCTCATTGCTTTCACATGTGCTGCTGTCAACCACGGCCATCCATCAGTGTTCAGTGGCACTTTCCATAAGAGCAGAAAGGTTTAAATGCTCCCTTCTTTCACCCACTCTTTTGAGGAAGCTTTTTGTGCAGAAACTGCAGACCAGAGACTCCACTTACACTGTTAGGACAGTAACAAAGTGTAAGAGAAAAAGCAAAGATGCAGCACAGTGAGAGGAGCAGAGCAGAGATCTGAGACAGATATTGGATGCCCTACAGCTCTTCCACAGCCAGTCTTGTTCTGTGTGGTTCTCTGATCCTCCAGTAATAGACTCCCAGGGAACACTTAAAATAGATTAGCAGATTTGAAGGCCAAAAGTGATGGTTCAGTTTGATTTCCTGAATAACTCACGTCATGGAATTCCATTCAGAAACTCTAGCAAGGAAAGGGCAGCTCAGCAGCCTTTCTGGGTTTGTGTATGAGCCTAAAACCACTATTTATTGCCTTGTCTGGGAAAGCCATCTGATCTCAGCATGGATGTGCCAAGTGCTGGTGCCCTTGGTACTGGTAATTGGTAAACCCCCCTGAGTGTGTATAAACCTTTCTGTCTAACATTCCTCTTTGTAGCTTCAATCCCCTCTTTGTTCCCTACCAAGAAAGGTTTTGTGGTGTGGCAGGCTCTGAGTGGCTCCAAGTTTAGAATCATGGACTCACAGAATATCCTGAGCGGAAGGGGACCCCAGGGATCATCCAGTCCAGCTCCTGGCCCTGCACAGACACCCCAACAGTTCCTCCCTGTACATCCCTCAGAGTGTTGTCCAAACACTCCTGGAGCTCTGGCAGCCTCAGGGCCGTGCCCATTCCCTGGGGAGCCTGGGCTTTGCCAGCACCCTCTGGGAAAGAACTTTTCCCTGATATCCAAACCTCCCCTGGCCCAGCTCTAGCCATTCCTTCAGGTCCTGTCCCTGTCACAGATTGGAGCTGCTCCTTGGGAGGAAGCTGTAAACAGCTGTGATGTCTCCCCTTGGTCTTCCCTTCTGCAGGCTGAACAAACCTGTCCTGTGCCTGGCTACAGAAGGAGCAGCACACCAGTGGAATTGAAAAGATTCCAAAATTGTTCCTCTTCAGTGAGTTGTCCTGGTGTCCCTAGGACATTAAAGGTTCTACATAAGCAAAGCCATCAATTGTCATTGAAACATTAAACACTGTCCTTCCTTTTTCTCTTACTCTGTTTCTCTCTACCCTGCCTGCAGGAAAGCAAACATCTTTGTGTCTCTGCTGATTGATGTGGCCCTGGGGATACTGCTGATGTCGTGGCTGTACAGGAAGAACCGCATTGGTCACCTTGCTGACACTCTCATCCCTGTGGCTGATGTAAGTCTGGCCAAATCTGATCCCCTTTCACCTGCTCTGGGCAGTGACCAGCTCCTGCCTGTGGTGATTGTAAGGAGGCAATGCCTCACACATTAGGGTTTCAGAGAGAACTGTCTGAAGTTATGCAAATTAGGTCTCCTCAAGAACAGTGAAATCTTCAAATCAAGCCTGTTGGGACTGTTCAAAAGAAACTCAGCTCTGCTTTGCATGTGCTGTGAATAGTAATTAGATGTTTATGGGAGGGCTCCTCCAGCTTCTAAAGGAACAATTATGGCTTGGACAGAGCTCTGCATCTGCAGGTTGGGTGGTTATGGAGCCACAGTGCTCTTATTTTTTTTCTGGAGTCAACAGAAAGTGTTCTCAAGTTGTTGCCATATGGGTTGTTAGTGGTGAAAGAAGAGCTGTAACCTGGGTTGAGTCTGATAAACTGCTGGAAAGTCAAACATGATAAGCAGTGCAGCTGTGCTTGTGAAAGGAGTTTTGTGGGGAAGTCCAAAGGTTTTGCTGGTCAGGATACAAACACCTGAAATCCTGCCTAAGTGCTCTGGGGTATGGATGCTAAACTAGGAAAACTTGCTGTGTCTTGTGATTTTCTTAAACGTAACTCTTGGCCACTGAGATCCCTCAACATCAGCAGAAATTCACGGATAGTGAGTATGACTCACACTGTCCTGCTCTTCTGGTGGTTCATTTTAGGTGCAGAGTTCCAGTATATCTGTTTAGTGGCAGTAAGGAACATATAATGTATTTCAGAGGCTGGAGACCAGACCACTAATCTGAGGTCAGCTCTGTTTTAAGAGTTTCTGTGTCTTGGGAATACATGTGCAGCCCATTTTGAGCCCTGCCATGCAGCTGCACAGCCTCATCTTTTCTCTGCCCACTTTCATTTCTGAATGGGTCATTCCATTGGTTTCTTTCTAGCAGCTGGAGAATGTCTTCTCTCTGCTCTTTCTCCAGCTTCTTGGTTGGGAAGAATTTGATTTTGATCAGAGAATTCCAGCAGCAGTTCATATTTCCTACTTATGCTGCATTTCCTGGGAAGAGCTCACATTTCCCTTGACAATGATCTTCTTGGTCCATGTCTTACTCCTTAATTATTACAAGGTGTCTGATCGTTCTTGTACATGCTGGACTTCCAGAAAGCATGTATGGAGTGTCCAGCATAGCTGTGGATCAGGATTATTGCTGGTTTTCTCATCTTTCATAGTCAAACTTTTAAGGACAGCATGTTTGTTGTAGACACTACTCAGCAGTGGTGGTGGGTAGGAAGAGCCACATTTGTTGCAGGGCACTTCCTCTTGTGTTTGAGCTATACACTGCAGATATTCTTCTAAGCCTTATTCCTACAGCTTTCCCCTTACAGATATTTCAGCTGGAGAAGTTTAAGTTCTCTAGAGCTTTCCCTTTGGGATTACGGGACGTACCCAGCTCTCAGAAATCTGATTTCTTAACAAGTCTGCAGGGAAGTGGCTTTGGCTGCATTCCTGGTTGCACAGGTGGCTCCAGGAGGGATTCCATCTGCCCAGTGTCTTTGGCAGATGGACACTCTCCGTGCTCAAGGTGTGTCCAACCCCAGCACCTGTCCTGGACAGGCTTTCTTGTGAGGGTTGCTTGTTTGTTCCTCTTTCAGTAATTTAGTTCATCTGTCACTCAACTTTTGCATCATAGTGACAATTATCTTCAGCAAGTCTCCTCCATGTGTGCTCTGTTACCTGGCTATCACCAGGAGCTGTTTGCTTTCTTTCCTGGAAGTGCTGGCTCCTCCACGTCTGCGGGGGCTGATAGCCAGTCAGGGCCTTTCTTCCCTGTTTTTCCAGGCTTATCAGTTCAGGCCACTCACAGCTCTTCTTTTTTCCAGCCTTACTTTCTTCTTTCAGGCATTTGAGATTGTGGACTTAAAATCATTTGGAGTCCTTTTACTCCCTTAGCTGGGCATTGATTTATATGCATTGTGTGCAGGCCTTAAAAAATGCGGATCTGAGTGATCCCAAAATATACCAATGACTTCAGCATGTGGTGTGCAAGCCAGCACCACTTCTTTTCCAGTATGACAGCAAAATCTCCCCTCAGCCATTCAGCAGTCGGTTTTTCTCTCTACTGCTGAGTGTCCATCTGGTCTGCATTACTCCCATCACTGGGCTTTCTCAAGTGCTTGTGTGTTGCCAGGTTCAATAACTCAGCATTCCCTGTGTGTAGAGAGCTCCTGTTCCTTCCCTAACACTCTTCTGCTTTAAGCTGTGCCTAGATAAGCTGATAGCATTGACCCTACACCTCTGTGTTTGTTGGTAGATAGAACATTGGGTATCTCATTTGCCCCAGAGGTGCTGGCACTGCCCAGGCTCCCCAGGGAATGGGCACAGCCCCGAGGCTGCCAGAGCTCCAGGAGTGTTTGGACACCACACCCAAGGATGGACAGGGTGGGATTGTTGGGGTGTCTGTGCAGAGCAAGGAGCTGGGCTGGATAATCCTGGGGGTCCCTTCTGACTCAGGATATTCTATGTTGCTATTATAATGAGATTGTTATGTATAATGAGGCTATATACATAACCTCACTTTAACCTTATTGATTTTAATATTGACAGGCTACCCTTATATAACACAATAACCTTATTGGTTTGATTGATTGATTTTAACATTGACAAAATCCCAGCTGTGTGGGGCCTGGATACAGTGCTCATGGTTTTTTCCAGCCAACATCTCTCTGGAAGGAAGCAGTGCAGGTGAGTTATTTTGACTCTCAGCATTGCTGGGGTCACAAGCTCAGCCCACTGCCAGGAGCTCAAGCTGTGTTCCCTGGCCATCCCTTGTCATCTTCTGATAAAATGGTTCTCAAATCAGCACTTGGGTGGCAAGTGTTGATGTTGCACAAGACATCACTGAGTGCAGCTCCCACTTTCCCAGCGTGGTGAGCTGTGCTGTGCTGTCTGTAATAACAAGTTGCTTTTGTCATTCAGTGAGGCAGATGTGATTCAGAGACACCCAGGGAGTAACTGGCAAGGAGCTGTTTGGAAGGACTGATTTTTGAAGCAGGCTTTCAAATCCAAAAATGGAAAACTTGAATAATCTTCTCTCTCTAGGTGCCCTCACAACTCCTACCTTCCTCCTTCTCTTGATCCCACCAGGCTTCCCAATGGTTGTCCTTGCTTTTGCCTTCCACAAGACAGCCTTCTTTCAGAAATACCTGACTCAAAGCTCTGCACTGGTTTTAAACAGAACTGCTTATAAACCATCTCCTTTTTTTTTTCCCTTCATCTCTTTTATCCTTGCTGATGTCTCTTTTTCCTAAGTTGCAATCTGTTTGAAACAGTTACATATTTATCCTAGATTGTGCCTGCAAAAGCTTTACTGGGGTTTGGAGATAACTGAATTTATGTTCGTACTCAGTCTTGTTCCACTGATCCATAAACAAAGCAAGCAGAGAGAACACTTCCTGAAAAATATTTTCAGATGTTAATTTATAAAATAGTGTATCTTAGAGCCCCAACCACCTGCAACAGACACAGGGCAGGTGTGTCTGACAGGGAGAGCTTTGGCTCTGCATGCTCTGATTTGCACCAGATAGAACCCTTAAAGCTGGAAAAGACCTTTAGGATCACCAAGTCCAGCCATCCACAGCACCACTGTGTTCACCACTAACCCCTGTCCACAAGTGCCCCCAGGGATGGAGACTCCACTGCCCTGAGCAGCTGAGCCAATGCCTGACCACTCTTTCAGTGAAGAAATTTTCCCAATATCCAATCTAACCCTCCCCTGGCACAACCTGAGGCCGTTCCCTCTCATCCTGTCCCTGTTCCCTGGGATCAGAGCCCAACTCCCCCGGCTGTCCCCTCCTGTCAGGGAGTTGTGCAGAGCCAGAAGGGCCCCCTGAGCCTCCTTTTCTCCAGGCTGAGCCCCTTTCCCAGCTCCCTCAGCTGCTGCTGCTGCTCCAGCCCCTTCCCAGCTCTGTTCCCTGCCCTGGAGCATCACAGTGCCCTGTGTGTCCTTCTCCATCCATGTCACATCAGCATTAGTCCTCTGCACGTGGAAACTAGGAAGAAGAGCATGACAGTAAAGAGAATATTTCCACAGTGAGCTCATCTAACCCTCGTTAGCTCCAGTCTCTCTCTGGTTTGGTCATGTCCCATCACCCTGTTATGAAACACTTCCAAACCACTGTATCTGATTTATTAATATGCCCACATTCAGTATTCATGACTGCAGGAGGAGAATTGGACTCACAGTCACCTTTCCTGATTCTACTTGCTATTGATCTGTCCTAAAATATCTGTCTGGAAAACAACCTGCAAGGTTATGCTTCAGGACTCTGTTTTGAGATGCCTTGCCCAGCTAAATAACAGCAAGGTAGGGCACCTTCCCAGGGCAACCTGCCCCTGTCAGGGTTTAGCAGCACCTCTGGGACTGACAGCCTCCAGAAATACTCACTGCTAAAACCCAGCCTTGCTGAAGGACTGCTTTCAAACATTTAAATATTTCATTAAAATCCCCAAATGCTTTTTCTAAGTTACCAATCCAACACTTAAAATATTAAAACCAGTCTATTTATAAAGCAGGAAATGCTCCTCAGCCACAGAGGTGAGCTCCATGGGATCCAATCAGTCCTGACTTGCAGTGAGACAGAGGGAAAAGGAAGGAAACAGAAAGACAAGCCTTATGGAGATGTTGAAAATGGAGCCATTAATTTTGCCACTGCACTAAAAGTAAATGTTTACAAACTCATTTTGCCAGGATCTGTTGGTTAATAAAGAAAATGGAATCATTCCTTGGAAATAATTTTTCCTAAGGGAAATGATACATGTGAATGGTAAGGAAAGTAGGCTACAGTGCTTCAGCTTTAGGGAGTGTGACTTGGTGGTTCTGCACGTGGGCAATTTTCAGTGCCCTTCACTTACATGGCTGTAAGTGGGATTTTTGGAGAAAGGGCTTTTCCTCACAACCTCTGTCCATGTGAGACAGTGTAAGAGGTCACTTCTTCCTAGTATTTTCCCCACCTGTTTGCTGAAGGTTATCAGCTCCCTCAGTTCAGGGCTTGGTAATTGGAGCTCAGCAATGGTTTCAGCTCAGGGGAGCAGGGCCAGGTGTGAAGTTCTGGGGAGGAAAATCACCCAACTGCAAGGGGAGTGTGGAGTAGTGGAGTGGGGAGGGAAAATCAATAAATAACACTGGCCCAGGCTGAAATCACCAGAAACTTGTGTCAGTGAAGGGTCTGAAACACGTTTGAGGTAGGGAGGAACAAGCCCAGAGCTGGGGTTTGGTTTGTTTTGCAGAAGTGAAGTGACAGCACACGGGGCTGGAGCGTGTCCAGGGAAGGGAACAGAGCTGGGAAGGGGCTGGAGCAGCAGCAGCAGCTGAGGGAGCTGGGAAAGGGGCTCAGCCTGGAGAAAAGGAGGCTCAGGGGGCCCTTCTGGCTCTGCACAACTCCCTGACAGGAGGGGACAACCAGGTAACAAGGGACAGGACAAGAGAAAACAGGACCAAGTTGCAGCAGGAGAGCTTTAAATTGGATATTGGGGACAATTCCTTTATGAAGAGAGTGGTCAGGCATTGGAACAGGTTGCCCAGGACAGTGGTGGAGTCACTGGAAGTGTTCAAAAAGCCACGTGGATGTGAAAGTTGGGGATGTAGGTTATTGGTGCACCTGGCAGCATTAGGTGCACCAATCTCAATGATGTTAGAGGGCTTTTCCAACCATAATGATTTTCTGATTCAGTGATGTGGGGAGGAGTTTCATTAGTGTTTTTCCTCAGTGATTCCAAGACTGCTTTGTTGCTGGGATGCCATGAGTACCTGTCTATGAAACCTGCAGAGAGTGATAGGCAAGATCAGGGCTATTGCCTAGTACACCACAAAGTATCAAGGAGTTTGTGCATGAAATATATTTATGTAATTGTGTTTTCTACCCTGCTCTAAACAAACACAGATTATTTATAGCATTTCACCCTTTTTGGCCATTACTGCACTGCCTTCTTCCCCCCTTTTAAAATCCTGACAGCCTTCCCCAAACTCAGCTCTGACTTTTCACCTGACTGTCCCCAAAAGTGGATTTGTGCACCAGTATTTGCCATCTATTTCCAGAATCCTCATTACTCCAAGAAATCCCACTGTGCAAGCCTTCCAGAGGTGGCCAGAGGTGACACAGTTCCATGCTCCCAGCACAGAGACCACTGAAGCAGTTCAGGTTCCTCTCAGCTGTTGTGTGTGATTCAGTAAGGGGTTAGTAAAGGTGCATTTCTGATTTAGGTAGTTGTCTGTAAAACAGTTGTTTGGATTTTGTCCCATTGATTTGAAGGTTGTGGTGGAATGTTTGAGGGGGCAGCAGTTACAGTGCACTGGCCCTGTTCAGGGTGATTGCAGTCTTTTCTCTCCATGGCCTGGCTTCCTTGTGTTTGCAGCATGTGGCTGAAGAGCTGCAGGACCTGCTCCAGTGGCTGATGGGAGCACCAGCTGGACTGAAAATGAACCGAGCCTTGGATCAAGTTTTGGGCCGCTTCTTCCTTTATCACATCCATCTTTGGATCAGTAAGTGAAATTGTTTAACTTTCCAGCCTCCCTTTTCATCTCTTCCCTCTGAGTGTTTAATGTTTGCCTAGAGGTGAGTAATGAATCAAAATGCACTTCTGCAAGTACAGACTTGTCTGGGAGTCTTCCTGCTGTAGGAACTGAAGCCAAAGTTGGATTCCCACACAAGGAATTCATGCATATTAAATATTGTGCTGGTCTTGATGCTCTGCAAGAAGTGCAGATCCTGCTGGGGCTTAGTTCCTTGGTGTCACTGGTGGTGAGTGTCCAAGGGAAGGCACTGCTGTGAGGTCTTTTGTAGGGTTTTGTGGTCTTTGCCATGTGAGAGGCAGCTCTTGGGACAGGGATGAGAAATGTGCAGGGATGCAAATGCCAACCCTGCCTTATCACCAACTTCAGCATAGTGCAGTTTTATTATTTCAGGTTCTTCCTTGAAATAACCCTGTGATAACACCCCTGTTATCGTTGATGGAGGAGTACAGGCACGATGGACATGAACATCATAGTTATTTTACCAATTTACTTTGCTCATCAGTCAAGTATGATCTTGTTTCTGTGACTTTGCCCCACTTTGGTGATGAAAGAGATTGTTTGTCCACGCTGCTTTATTTTACAAAAGCCACATGAGGTGGTGTTGCATTGTGGGGCTGCAGGATCCTGTCCAGGGAGGCTACAGTTACCAGTGACTGCCGAGGGATTCAATGAGATGGGTTTCTGCTCAGGAAACCATTTATTCAACACAGGAACAAACTCAGATGCAGAGACAGCCCCAAACAGAAGCAGGGTGTGGTGGGTTTTATGGGGCAGAGCCAGGGTGGAGTTTGAGGTCAGGGTCTAATAGGGACAGAGCAAGGGAGAAACTCCAGGGGCTGAAACCCAATCAGAACTCCCTGGGCTGCTACCCCATGAGGGTCTGGGATGGGACAACTCTTCCCAGGCTCCCAGGGCCCATCCCCTGAGGCTGGATGGAATCCACTGGGATGGAATCCACTCTTCCCAGGCTTTAAAGCCACGCCTCTCACTTCAACAATGCTTATCTGAAACCAAATCTTTGCCTCCCTGGGTGGGGGGGCACCTCATAAGGTGGCTTTTGTGGGAAGAGCAGAAAAACAGGAATGGTTGCAGTAAAGGCTGATGTGTGCAGTTAAAAATGTACTTAAGAAACTAGACACAAATGTAGAAAATCAAATGTTACATCCCTGGAAGTGTTCAGTGCCAGATTGGAAAGGGATTGAAACGACACCAAGGGAAGGTGTCCTTGCCCATGGTAGGGAGGTGGCACTAAATGATCTTTAAGGTCTCTTGCAACCCAAGTCATGCCATGCCACTTATTCCATGAAATCCCATGTGGAGCAAGGTGACTGCTGTGTACAAGCTATGCACACTCCTCCCCATCCTCCTAGTGCTGGCCCACCTTGGGGCAGAAACTTGGGCAGACAGAGAGTATTTGTTGACCCTCTTAAAGAGAAGATGGTGTCCCAAGGAGTTTTCCAGCTTCACTTCCATGTTTTCATGGCTCTGATTTCTGGAGCAGTGTTCTAGGTGAGGGGAATTAACTTTTTGAGATGTTCAAGAGGGAGATGACCCAGTCAAACACTGACCCTCTGCCATGTCCACCAGGCTACATCCACCTGCTGTCCCCCTTCATTGAGATGATCCTGTGGTACGTGGGGCTCTCGGCCTGCCTGGGCCTGACCGTGGCTCTCTGCATCCTCTCCGACATCATCGCGCTCCTGACCTTCCACATCTACTGCTTCTATGTCTATGGGGCCAGGTGAGTCTCCCTCCCTCTCTGGGGTTTGTTTGGAAGCACCTCAGGCTGTGGTGAAGCATTCAATCCTGGTGTAGTTCTGAATTCACAGTTTAACCTGTAATTAATTTCTTGCAGTTTTTTAAGCCTGTAGAAATGATGGCCACAGTAGTACAAGCAGCCCATCTTTCATTTCTCCTGCATTTAGATACTTATCTATAGTGGTAGTGACCTGGAAAAATGAAGAAAGCAGCTCACCCCATCCCTTTGATTCAGCCTCATAGTACTCTCCTCCATTGCACCCTGCTAGAGATTTGCAGGGGGAACTGGAGAATAGAAGGAGGAGAAGGGTAGTTTTGGAGAAACCCCAAAATCCTTGTCTCTGGCCTGTTTCAGAGGTCCTTGCCTGCACTGTGGAGCACAGGTGGCAGGTTTGGGGTTACAGGAGGTCTGTGACACTATCCTGGTGTCATTGTCTGGAGGGTCCCATGGCCTGAAGAGCTGGGCAGAGGCTCTGAATGAGTCGGGGGAGTGTAGGGGGCTTTGGGGCACATCTGGGGCATGTTTGGGATCCTGTGCAAGAGGTGTCCATCACTGTGCTCTGTTCCTGCTCTCCTCTAACTTGTCCTGCACCAAGGAGTCCCATAGACCACAGGATGAGCTTGCCAGAGAGATGGGATACAAGAGATAAAGGACCTTATAAAGTACAAAATGGCCATTGTTCCTCCTCAGACTTTACATAGCAAACAACACAAGAAAGTGTAAATCTTTAAATATGGGTAGTTTAGGGAATGGTTGGAAATATTGAGACCTGATTTATGAGCCAGGTCTGTTGTGAACATAGGTCTTACACCCAGAATCAGTAATGTTGGGAGTGGGAGTGTCTTCCCAACACTTCTAATTACTGGAATTCCTGTGTTGGTCTGTGAGGAATGGCCTTGCTCATCCTAGTTGTGCAGAGTGGTAGTAGGAAGTAGGAAAAGCATTTTGTCAGCTGATTTATCTTCCCTGGATCTGCAGGGAGCCAGTCTACCTGTCTTGTGTTTGTCAGAAGTACAGGGAGCTGTGTGCTGTCCCCATGGAGAGCCAGGAAGAGTCAGCAGTCACCCACACCCCTTGAATTCCTGCAGCTGGCAGGAGGAAGAATTTGCTGGTTTAGATGCTGGTGAAGCCTGAGATCCACTTCTAGAGCTAAGCACAGAGTGAAATGAGGGCAGGCATGTGTGTGCAGGCAGCAGGGCAGGTGGGGCAGGTGCCACTGCAGCAACACCCCTGGGTGTCATGTCAGGGGGTGCAGGGAGAGCGTGGCCTTAGTCAGAGCCATGGGCAGGTTTGTGCCAGAACCTGGAGGATTTGTCCTGGGCTCCCTCCTGCTTAGGGATTAGTGCACCAAGCTGTGCCTGCCAGTCTGGAGGCACCCTGCCAATTCCTTGAAGCAGTTTGTGTTCCTCAAACCAGATTCTTCTCTTGGATGAGCCTCCTTGCCTCTGCTTTTACATTGCTGCTGTGACATCTGAGCAGCCTCCACACCTTAGCTAGCCTGATTTGCCAGTCTGGCTTTTGTAGTTCAGGCTTTCTCAGACTCTGTTCTGCCCCACACATTGGCTGTGAACTCTTTCTTTACATCCCTGTATGTTGGCACTGCTGCCCAGGGCACTTTGTGCCTCCTCTCCATCCCAAGGAGAAATCCAGTGTTCTTCCTTGATGTTATTCCATAAAGAGGTGGCCGTTTCCCACCCCTTGTAACCCAAGTTTCCCTCACTGTTGTCATTTTTCTGTGGGGGAAGTAGCTTCAAGTCTTAAGCTTCAAGCACCAAGTTCTGAAAACCCAAGGAAGGGATGTAGTAGGGGCCACCAGGCATTTCAATGGTCTGTTCCAACTCTTAAGGACTTTTAGAGCTGTGGGTTACTAGAGAAGCTGCAGGGGCTCCGCTCTTCTCCTTTGTATCTCTGCTGCAGAGGCACAATTGCATTGCATTGACTCAGGTGTGGGGGTAAGACCTTGGGCAGCCCTGTGTGGAAGGGTGTGAAGGCAGGAGAAGGGACAAATCTGAACTGGGGAGACACAGGTGAGCTTGGGGAAATAGGATTGCTGGTTCTTTTCCTAGAATCATGAAATGGTTTGGGTTGGAAGGGACCTTAATGCTCATCTCATCCCAACTCCTGCCACAGTGACACGGTTCCACTATCCCAGGCTGCTCCAAGCCCTGTCCAGCCTGGCCTTGGACACTTCCAGGGATCCAGGGGCAGCCACAGCTTCTCTGGGCACCCTGTGCCAGGGCCTGCCCACCGTTTTGCTGCAGGGAAGGTGTTGCCATGAGGCTGGCGATTGCTGCAGCTCCAGGGCATGGCCTGGCCATTGCCCTCCAGTGGCCCAGAGCTGGCTGCAGTAGCCCCTGTGCCAGGGGCCAGCCCAGGGAGGGTTGACTGGGCCATGAGTCTTTACCTGTATCATTCCCAGTGGATTTCTGTTGCCACCCCTGGCTCTGGAGGTGGGTGAGTGGGCGTGGGGCTGTGCTGGTGACAGCTGGGTGGTGCTGGGAGCTGCCAGCTGTGCTGCAGAGTCTTCTCTTTGCTCAGGCTCTACTGCCTGAAGATCTACGGCCTGTCCTCTCTGTGGCGCCTGTTCCGGGGGAAGAAGTGGAACGTGCTGAGGCAGCGGGTGGATTCCTGCTCCTATGACCTGGACCAGGTAGTGCCACAGCCCTCCTGTCCCACTCTGGCTGATACTGGGACACAGACACAGGAGCCTTTGTGGTGCCCAGAGCAAGGACATTCCCTGACACTCTGAGCCCATGGCTCTTCTGCTGCTTTACAGCACTCCTTGACTTCCCTGCAGCACCCCTCCATTGCCTTGTGCTCCTTTCCTGCCCTCCAACACCCCTTCCTTACCTGCAGCAGCCTTTCCCTTCCCTATACCACTTCCATTTCCTGCACCCCTCCCCTTCCCTGCAGTGCCTCTTCCCTGCCCTGCATCCTTTTCTTGCACCCCTTCCCTACCCTGCAGCCTATCCCTCTCCTCCCCCACCCTTTCCCTTTGCTCAGAGAGCCAAATTCTGCAAGTGCAGAGTTGCCCTGAGCACCTGCCAGGCACCCGAGGAGCTGCGGTGGGTGCTGCAGATGCTGGCAGCTCCCAGAGCCTGGAGTGGGAATGGGGGAGGGATGGAGGCAGTTGGAAATGTGGTGCCCAGCAGTGTTGCCACAGTAACAGCCGTGGCAGCGTTTCTATTAAAAGGCCCCGTTTCATTCACGTTGTGCTGGAGCCTGGCCCACACACTCTCACTCAGGCAGAGGCAGTTTTCTGTGGAGCGCTGTAAGCTCTTTCTAATTTCTGAAATGCCATGCAAAAGTCCAGCAGAGCCTGAACTGCTCCAGGCCAGCAGCTGCAAACATCACTGAAACAATACAGTAATATTTGGAAACTTGCAGGGTCAGTGCCTCTCTCTATTACAACAGATAACCTTGAGCTTCTTGCACCACAGCTGAGAGCTGGTTTTCTGTTTCTTTGGTGATTAAAAGCCTCTGTGCCAGGTTTGCATGAGGGCTCACTCCCTGTGTACTTGGAGGAGAATTAGTTTGGCACTTCAGGCTTCATCCTGCTGCTCTGGAGACCAGTGGGAATTGTGTCGCTGGCTGGGTAGGAAGAGACATTCAAAGCAGACCTTAAAAGACTTTTGGAGGTTTAAACAACTGCAGTGGAGTGACAGGAAAAAGGAGAAACAACTGCTGCGAGGGGAATGGATTGGATTGGGTTGTGATCTATTCCTGGTTACATCCCTAAAGCTGCCTTGCTGATCCACCTCCGCGCCGTGGCTGCTGGGTTGTTTTCTTTCATGATATCCCACAGCCGTGCTCGCTTTTTGCAGAAGTTGCAGTGCCCTGTGCTGCTGTGGCCTCTCTCCTCTGGTGACTGGAAATAGAAGAGTCAGGTCCCTGTGTGGCATAAATCTGAATTTCTCCCACTTGGAATTATTTAGACTTACACCAACTGGGTTGGCCCAGAATAAAAATAACTTTTTCTGTGGGCAGTGGAGCTAATGACACCTGCTTCCTAGGGATTTTTCTCCTTCACCCTCTAAATATTGCTCCCCAACTCCAGTTTTTTCCTCTCTCCCACCTTCCCAGTGAGCAAGAGGCTGTGGCTGGACAGTTCAGGTGGTTGCTGCCTTGAGGAATGTTTATCACCCAAATTCTGTCAGGTTTGCACCAGGTGCCTGCACTGCTAAAACAAGGAGGAACAAAAGTACTTCTCAGTTCTTTCCAGGATTCCCATTCAAATTACCACTTCTCTGTTCTTTTTCACATTTTTCTGGTAAAATCTGATCAATGGATCTAAAACATTTGGGGACAGAGAGTGGAAAAATTGCAAGATCATGTAAGTCTTGTTTCCTAAGGAAGCTGGCCTGGAATGGGAAATCTTGAATGTTGCCTGTAAAGGAAAAGTGCTGTCAGGATCCAGCTTTTATTTATCTTTCCAAATGTACTCCCTTAATAATGAGTTTTGAAGAAGGCCCAGTGAGAGGAGAAATACTGAAAATATCCAGGGTAACAGCATTATTCACATAGGCAAGATAAAAACACATTAAGGAGTCCTGCAAGCTTCCATTGCCTCAGAGTCTCCTATTTTTTATTTGTAATGTATTTTATTTTGCCATTGCTCTGCTCATTATTGTGTTTCCTTTTTCCCTAGTTATTTATTGGCACTTTGCTCTTCACAATCCTGCTGTTCCTCCTGCCTACAACTGCACTGTATTATTTGGTGTTTACCCTGGTAAGATTTAACCCTTGAAACAAGTCAAACACTCTCTTCTGAGGTAGTAAAAAATGGTTTCCTAGATATTTATGGTCATCAATAAAGAAAAAAAAATGTGGGTGTCTTAGGAAGGATTCTCACACAGCTCATGTTTGTGTTTTTCCAAAGGGAATTCCCAGCAAATCCTGGCCAGCAGGATAAACTGTTCCCCTCTCTTTCTCTCAGAACTTGGTTTTTTTTTTGTTTCCATCCATGTCTGTGGTGATGGCCTCTCTAGTCTGATCCAGAACATTTTTTTTCAGGGAATTAACTTGCTGCATTAAATGTTTCCAGCCAAGCTTTCCTCAGAGGCTGGAACTTCTTTATTTTTCTTTTCTTCCTCCAATATGACCAGTCCTCTCCATGGTGTGCCCAGAGCCAAATTTTCCACCGACAGTGGCCATCACATGCTTTCAGCATCTTTTTTGAGCCCTCTCTTTTCAAATGAGCTTGGCAGCAGAAAATAACTTCAGTGTGACAGAAGGAGGTGCTTTAGTGAGGGACAGAAAACACAGAGCAGGAAGCTCATTCCTGGCTGCTCTGCTCTTGCTTAAACTCTACATGGGGTTTCTTCAGGCCAAAATGAGCTGTTGCAGCTCACTGTTGGAGAGAGGAAAATTTACATTCACTGGTACACAGTGATGGAGTTGACTCGAAGTGGGACAATTTTGGCTTCCTTTTCAACTGTGGCTGTTGAAAGTGGAATAGTTCTCAAGTCCTTGCCCGTCACTGCATCTCCAGCTGTAGGAGTTTCCTTCCAGTTACCCTTAAACCCAGATTGCTGAGCGCCTTCATGCAGGGTCTGGATGCTCAGCACTTGCAGACATCACACCCACTTTGGGAGGCTTTAGCTTAGCACACAGCAATGTTAGATCCTGGCTCAGCTCAGAAATTTACAATTGTTTAATCTCCTGTTTCCTGAGATGTTCTGTTAAACTGTTTTTTGTAGCTCCGGTTGCTGGTGGTGATTGTGCAGGGCCTCATACACTTGCTGGTGGACCTGATTGACTCCCTCCCTCTTTATTCCCTCATCCTTCGCCTCTGCAGATCCTACAGGCTCGCAGGTGAGTCCCTCAGCTCTGCCCCTGCAGCACTTCAAGCACTTTGCATTATGTGCTTGATTTTGATGCACTGGGTCACTCCTGAATGAGGATGCAGTGGGAGTAGGAGAAAACCCAAAGCTCGAGTTGTGCAGGTGTCCCTGCTGTGAACCAGTTCCTGCAAGGAGCAGGATGAGGATGTCAATGGAAAGAAATCTGAACCTGAAGCAGAACCAGGAGCACCTTTAGAAAGCCCTTGGCCACTAAAAAATGACATCCAAACAAGCATCATATAAACGAGGTCTTTTATTCCAGTTCTAGACTACCAGGTCAGGTAAAACTTCTGCATGTCAAACATGGCATGGAGCTGTGTCAGGGGAGGGTCAGGTTGGATATCAGGAAAAGGCTCTTCCCCCAGAGGGTGCTGGGCATGGCCCCAGGGAATGGGCGTGGCCCCAAAGCTGCCAGAGCTCCAGAAGCCTTTGGACAGCACTCTCAGAGACAGGGTGGGATTGTTAGGGGTGTCTGTGCAGGGCTGGAAGTTGGACTGGATGATCCTTGTCCCTTCCAAATCAGGATATTCCATGATTCTGTGAAAAAAGCTCATGACTTAGGGTGTTTGGGCTCTGAAACAAGCCAAATCACAAAAATACTTGGAATGTCAGCAGTTCCAAAGGGATGGATCTACAGTGGTTGCAAATCAATGGAGCTCTTTCAGTTCTGTGCTGACTTTGACTGACTGAAGCCCTGACCTGAAGTGTTTGGATGAATTTCAAAGCTCTGGGCAGAGTTCAGATAATAATTCCCTTTTTTAAGGTAATCTGTCACCATTTTGAAACCAGTCATTGTTTTTCCACTTTGGGTAACCATAAACCATGGCTGGCACCAGTGTAAGGACTTATTTTGGAATGCCTTTGACTGTCCACAGCTATGGTTGATCTAGTTACAGACAAGAACATCTAAATTATTATCTCCCATCCTTTTAAAGAGCATGCAGCAGGAATTCAGCATAGAAGAAAGAGCTTGATCATCAGTAGACCAAGGCCAGTCATCAAAGGCAGAGGAAGCTCGAGGCAACCTCTGCAGCTTTGTCTGCTGGAGTGCTGCCAGACTGTTTTGGGAAGGTAGAGCTGAGCTGCATTATTTTCCATGGGAACCTTCAGCAGGTTCCTGTGAATTTTCTGGCAGAAACATCTTAAACCCTTCAGTGCTGTCTTTGGGGAACAGGAGGTGCTGCTGAAGAAAACTGACCCAGTAATGAGCAGGATTTAAGGCAGAAGATCTTGGTGCCACTGAGAGGTGTAGGACCATGAATTACTTTAGGTTATGTAAGGCCACAGGTTACTTCTCCTCATTCCTGTTCAGCCAGGTCTCTGCTGCAGGAAACAAGCCCCACCCAAGCAGGGGATTGAATTCTCAGCTGAGTTCCTTAACTGGCACTGCAGTGCCCTGGTGCCTGTGAGAGGAAGAGGCATCTCTGAGCATTTCTGCAGCCTATATTCCTGCCCCAGCACAAAACTGTGGCAGGCAACAGGAACAGATGGAGCAGTTGAATCCAATTCAAAGGACTTCAGAGAGTACACATCACATGATGCTCTCACTGCTGAGGTGCTGCTTCCCTTGTCAGACTCACAACTTGGAGAAGACATCCTCTGGCAGGTGTTAGGGCAGATGATTTTACAGGCATCATCAAGATGGTTCTACCAACATGAATGGATAGTTTTTGCTGGTAGGAAGGGGCCTGAGTTCAACTCAGTTCAGTTGTGGCATGTGGCCTCCAAGTTCTTTGACTCAGTGTCTGAACTGACGAAACACTGACAAAATACTGATGAAGCCCTGGCCAGGGGTAGGTGAATGATCCATCCACACACTAAATGCATTTTTTCTTTCCACACATCCAAAATGAAATATTTATGACTTCAAAAAGCATTTTTTTATCTAGATCACAGCTGATGGTCTCTGTGCAAGAGTTCTGTGCACCCAGTGCCAGCTCAAGGGGCACCACCTTGGTTGGGATGTGGATTCACAGCACGAAGAAAGGAACAGCAGGGGTTTCAGGGCTCTCAGACTGCCCACACACAGGTTACCAGCATTGTTTGATTGTGAACAGGCCACAATCCTGTACTTCCCTTTCCCAATATTCACAGTGGAAGTGTTGGGGAAGGTTTTGTCATAGTTCTGTAGGACCAGCCACAATTGCTGGAGTACAAACCAGCAGTGCACTCACTTGAGTGTGCTGTCATGTGAAACAAAGCAAATGAGTTCATATTCTGAGCTCTCCTATGCCACTGCTGATGCCTTTGTACAGGAAAAGCAGACCCCTGAGCTCTGGAGTTGGCTGGAATTAATGGAATAGTTCAGTCTTCTGTGCTGGAATGACATGCAGGAGCCTGAGCCTTCCTGCTCTTCCCCTAGAGAAGGGAACTACTCAGAGTCCTGAGCACTGCAGTCGTCTGCAGGTCATTCTAAAATGAATTTATAGCTTTTTTGTGCTCTTATTTTCTTAGAAGTTTAAGACTCTTGAGCAATTAAATAATCTAATTAAGAAAGTGTTGACTTGCAGCTTGAGAAGGGAGATGTGTGGTCAGGACCTACAGAACCAGCATTTGCTGGGATGATGGACTGTTCCTGGGATAAGACTCCAGAGTGCTCAACCACATATCTGAACCTTCACTGCCTGCTTGTTTCTGTCTCTCTCTGACAAAGTCTGCCAGAAAAGTAGTTCCTGGAATGGCTTAGCCACTTCCTCTTAGCCAGAGCTCTGTGAATCATGTTGAGCACTTTGGTCATCCAGCACATTTGCTTGTTGAGGCCCAGGGTACTCAAACATCTATTTCAAGCCACTGGGGAAGCCCCTCTATCAATATAATCCAGCAAAATGCAAATAAATCCCTCCTGTCCTTGGCAGAAAAAAGCTTTATCATTTGGGGAGAGAGTTTAAACCAGAGCTGTGTGCTAGAGAAAAGCATTCTCTCCTAGGAGTGAGCTGTATGATTTTAATTCATTCAAAGCTTGAGGAAATAGAGAAAACATTTTGGTTTTTCAGTGTGCAAGAGCCATAGAGATATTCCAGCAATGGCACTTAAAATAGTGACGAGTTTTATTTCTGTTTGTTCTCCTGTCAGTGTTTGATCTGTGCCTTAGTCTTATCTTCTTACCTGCAGGAAAGAATAACAGGTCATGCTTGGCTGGAATAGGTTTGCAGAGATGGATTGGTGGTCTTATTTCTGTGAAGTAATTTGACATCTTTTTAAGAAAAATGCCTCTCTGGTCCAAGCGGTTACCTCTGAAACATTGTGTTAAATCTGTGTGCACTGCATCACCCTTGGAATCCAAAATCTTTCCTATTTATCTTTACAGTATTGGCAATGAGGCAAATCCAAGAGGAAACAGGAAAGTGGCAGGTTTGATGGGGTTAGCCTGTTAAAAACATGTGGATGCTGGGATTAATGGGCAGGGTTTGCTTTGAAATGTTTTAATGCCTCCAGGTCAGCCACTTCCCTCCCTTAGCCTGAAAGAGGGACACATTTGCACATGTGCTCTGTCCACATGAGCACAAATTAAAGGCAGGCTCTCTGCCTGCTGCTAACATGGGAGTTCCCATTCTGATGGGAGTTTGGGAAAAGTGGAAGGTTTTTCCAGTCCCTCTCTCATGCTGAGGCCTGGCTGGCTGATTTCTAGGCTTTGTGCTTGCTCTAGGACTGAGTTTTCAGGCTGGAGGTGAGAGGGGTTACTTTTAATGGAGCTGTATCATTAGGCTTAAAGCATTGTAGAGACAATCCATGCTTTCTGTGGAAAATGGGGAATGTTCCCAAATCCAGAAAGGTTGAAGACAATTTCTAGGGAATCAGTGCTCAACCAACAGCACTGGGCTGCAAATGCACTGGACTGTTCTCCAGGCATTGAACCACGGAATATCCTGAGTGGAAAAGGATCACAGGGACCACTGTCCAACTCCTGGCCCTGCTCAGGACACCCCAACAATCCCACCATGTGTTTGCTTTCTTTGTTTTCTGTCTTTGCAGCTGGAGTGAAGTTCAGAGTCCTTGAGCAGCAGGATGGAAAACCTCTGCGACTCCTTATGCAGGTAAGGCCCCTGTGCCTTCCGTGACAATTCCTTCCCCCAGAGTGACCCCAGTCCATCTGTGCTGCTCCCACTGAAAGGCTCCACTTCAAAATTGTCAGCTGTAAAATGCTGAAACAAGGGAAATAATCTCATGTTGCTATGGCTGGCTGCTGCTTTCTGTGCTTTTTGATGCCCTGCTTGCATCCTGTGTTTGGAGAAAATGCACTGCCCTGGATGGTGTGAAGTGAAATGTAGAAGAAGGGGAGGTAGGAGAAACACAGAGCTCTGTCACTTCTGGGATTAAGACCTCATGCCATTATCACCTCCTGGCTCTGCAGCTTCATGTGATAATTGCTAAACACTGGGAGAAGCAAAAGAAAGCAGTTAAACCATCCAGAATGAAGCAACAGGAAAAACTCTTACCCTTCAGAGGTGCTGGAAAGCCTTGGCTGCTCCATGAGTTCAGCAGGATGATAGTCTGGGAAAGATGAAAGGGCCTCCTGCTTTTATCCTGAGTTGCCCTGGTGAGGGGTATGAGCAAGGCTTACCTGTGCTTTTGTAACCCCCCATTTCCATGCTCTGGCATCAAAGATACTAAAGAAAATTACCTTCTTTTGGAAGAGAAATGAGGTGTTGGCAGCTTACACTCCTTACACTTTCAGGAGTGAAATTTCCATCTCCTGACCCAGCAGGAGCACAGCCATGTCCCAAGGCAGCTTTTCTTGCTCTCTGCATCCTAAAGAGGAGAGGCTGCCAGTAGTGTATAGCACTTATAAAAGCACTTGGACACTGGGGGAGTGTGTGGGAAGGACTTAACTGCAGCTTCCCAGTCCTTTTGCTTTTTCCATCACCAGTCCCACCCATTTCAGCAAAGGTCAGACTAGCAGGGAACCAGAAAACCATCTAGTAGCAATTCCAGAGGGAATCCCTTCTACAGACGTCTTTCAGGGCAAAACTAGCATTCTCTAAGCAAGCTGTCTTCCCAGCTCCTGCCTTTCAGTAGGATAGTGGTACAAGAACCAAAATCTGCCATCCTTCGTGGCCAGGAGATTCCAGAAAAAGGAAACACACCAGAGGTGAGGCACAGGAGGTGCTGAGCAGAGGCTTTGGCATCAGTGTGTGTGACAGATGAGGTGGATGGAGTCTCCAGAGGGAAAAGACCACGACTTACAGAGCAGAGGCAGTGAGTCATATGACTGTGATGAATTTTCCTTGGACCACTGCAGAAAGATCCATTTTCTATCTGGAATATAGCACAAGTCATCACCTCAAGAGGTGGAAGTGCTGCAGTAGATATCTCTCCCAGCCTTCTGTTCCAATAATAATGAGCAGACAGTCAGAAAAGGCACTTTTTTGCTCTCTTTGTGCTGGTGGAAACAAAAAATGGGCTTGTGTCAGAAATTCTGCTGAATATCCCACTTTCTGATAGGCCTTTGGAGAGGGTAATGTAAAAAAACCTATTTTTAAGTGAAATTCTTATTTGTTGTACATGATGATGTGCCTTTCTTGAGAATCTGCAGTGGCATTGCCCCCTCCCTGTGTGGAAGCCCTCTTGGAGCAGTGCCTGGTAGAAGTCAGGCTGGATGCATGGGCCTGTGCCCAAAATAACTGCAGCTGTAGGTGATAGCCTGAGCTGTCCTGTGGGACACTGGTAGTGAATTAGAAATCAATAATGCTGGTTTTGAGCATTCCCAACCCCATCCATTCCATGGTTCAGCCAAGGGATTATTTTTGATTTTTAACATAGTGTCTCTGGAATGCAAAGTCCAGACCCTGGCAGGGGGCAGAGGATGGGGGATGATATTTTCATTCCAAATGCTACTTAATATTCTTCAGGAACTCTTACATAGGTCAGGTTTTCATTAGTGTTTAAAGTAATTTCTTCTGGTGCACATGAAGAAATATTTCTGGCAGTGTGGCTCAACTGAACCAGTAGCCCAGGTAGAAAACTGGCTTTAAACTGAAGAAGGGCAGGTCTGGAGTAGGTATTACGAAAAAATTCTTCCCTATGAGGGTGGGCAGGCCCTGGCACAGGGTGCCCAGAGCAGCTGTGGCTGCCCCTGGATCCCTGGAAGTGGCCAAGGCCAGGCTGGACAGGGCTTTAATCCATGAGTTTAATCCATTCATGTACCTTCTGCTGAAAGTCTCTTCAGCAACTGATTTGGAAAGGGTTAAAGAGAGGAAGGGAAAAGGGAACAGCTCCATTAGGATGGATATTCTAGCAGGGTTTATTAGAGCTTTGACCTACAGAACTTTCATAAGGGAAACAAATATTGCCTCTTCACTAATAATGAGTTTTGTCTGTTTGCTTCCATTTGTAGCAGGAGAGGCAGGGATGTGAATTGCTCTGGGTGTAGAAACCCTTGGTTATTACAGTGGCCAGTGTTACCCCTGGGTATCACCACTCTGCCCAGGGATGCTTCTCAACAAGAAATGTTGTGTGCAGACCTTCCAGCCCATACAGCTAACAGTCAGGGGAACACATGCTGTGTCTCTCCCTTGCAGAGCAGCAGTTCCTGTCCTCCTCCCCCAGCATGTTTGCACTGAAGACACTCTGCTTTGCCTACAGCTGAGGAAATGGGCAGAAATTGTTATTCAGGTTTTACAGCAGTTAGTGCTGGGGACAGGTTTCTTTGGCCTTTTTTTCCCCATGGTTCTTCTTTTTTTATGATTTTCCCTGCAAACAGCTGCCCTGGCCTTTTTCCTCAACTTCCTATGGATGCTTCTATGTACAGACATTTCCCCCTTCTGCTTGAGCAATCTTGTACTTTGAAACTAATTTGACAGAGATCTCCAGGATTAGTTCTAATGAACTCTTAGCTCAACCCTGCTTTCTAAGAGCTCCATCTCTGTAGGCACTGGGGGTTCATCCCTCACCATTCCATGAGCTCCAAGCAGCTGAAACAAGCTCGTGAAACAGGCAAACTCCCAAAAACCCAGATGCTTTTTAGTGGACAAAAAAAAGTGTTGACTCTGTGCATGTGTTTTGCTGTCTCTCCTTTTGTGGCTGGCTTCTGTGCTGTGAATTACAGTCTCCTTTCCCAGAGCTGCTTGTTTGGTTCCAGCAGAGCTGAACCCTTTTACTAGAGAGGGATGTCCTTCCATTTCTCTCCACTGCCAAGCTTTCCCTGCTTCTGTAAGTCCCTGAGCATCTCTCATGGTCTGTGCTCTGAGCCCCACCATTTCTGTGCCATCTTTCTGGTCCTTTGGAGACTGTGCATCCTTTCCATGCATCAGGTCTTGGCCACACTGCATCCATCCTGTGCACTTCACCTGTCTCCCTACCCTGAATGCTTCACTGGGATGAGCATTTCCAAGGTCTGACATCCTTCTGTCACCCCTTGTACAGTTAATGAGTTTGTTCACATCCCTGTCTTCAAAAGGTCAATGCAGCAACTGGGGACCATGGTCAGAACTTTTGTAGGCACAGACTTGGAGCAGTGATTGAAGTCAAATTAAAAAATATTAACTCAGTCAAGGAGACTTAATTGAAAATGGTAATGAGGAGCTCTGTGGTGTGATCCCATCGTGCTGGGACTCGGTTCCACTGGGTGGTTTCAGGTGATGCCAGGTTTAACTTGACACACAGCTGTGGGCTGAGGTACAGCTAAACTGGTCTACTCCAGTGGAGTTCCTGGAGTCCTAGTGCATCCCCAGTGCAGTACTAGGTGTAGGTTTAAATTAGATATTAGGAAACATTTCTTCACTGGAAGGGTGGTGAGATGCTGGCACAGCTGCCTAGGGCAGTGCTGGAGTCACCATCCATGGAGATGTTCAAAAGCAGTGTGGATGTGGCATTTGGGGACACAGGTTGGTGGTGACTTTGGTGGTGCTGGGTTAAGGACTCAGTGATCTTAAAGGTCTTTTCCAAATTAAAAAATTCCATGACTCTGTGATTCTGTTGCTGTCTGCTGTCTCTCCAGCCACTGTCCCCCTCCACTCTGGTGTGTAACACGCCCCTCTCATTCCCCCAGCCCTCGTGCTGCTGCTGCTTGTCTGCCCCTCTGCTTGGGAATGATTCTAGTAGTACTCCTTGCCAAGCTCAATTTGTTAATGTTGGGGGATGTTGGAGAAGGATAAACAGCCTTAGCAAGCCAGGGAGGGATTCTGATGCTGTGTGAGGAGCAGGACTGATGCTTCCCTCATTACTGTCCCTCTTTCTCCACACAGATCAACCCGCTCTCCTACGGAGGTGTGATCCAGACGTACAGACTGCCCACCTACAGCTGCTATCCCAGGGACTCCTGGGCATCTCTCTGCAAGAAACTCTTCCTTGGAGAGCTCATCTACCCTTGGAAACACAAAGGAGACAAGCAGAACTAAAGACAGTGGAGGAACTTAGAAACTTGACCTGAAAAAACATACTGACTCCTAATGCTTTGGGACCAAAGGCTGCTCAGAGCCAGCAACTGCTCCATCCTTTAAATAGATTTTGGTAACATAGAAAGGGCTGATTTTTTAAAGGCAATTATTTTTAAACATTATTTTTCAACTTTCTCTTCCCCTACACTGTGTTTGTATATTATGCTAATGATTTTTTTTGGAAGCAAAAGGTGAAATCCGTCAGTGCCTCATGAAACCAGTGCTCAGTGTCATGGAGGAAGCAGCTCCCAAATGATTTGGTGATGAATTTTTCCCTCCACGTCAGATCACAGGGCCATAGCAAAGCAGCCTCAAAGTGGTTTGCAGCCACAATGCTGTGGTGCCTTCAGGCAGAGCATGTTTTGGACCTTTTATGCTTCAGCCTTCAAGCCAAAAACCATGTGGAGAAACAGCTCATGGAGTCCTACACTGAAAACTGAACAGCTGGGTGTCTGAGTTCATGGGATATTTATTAATTTCTTTTGAGGAGGGTTTGCACTCACCCTCACTGCAGCACCAGAGAAGGTGTTGAAAGAGCTAGGCTGAAGACCCAGAAGGACAGACTGTTGTATCATGATTCCGTGATTTCTCTTAGGGCAGTTTTTTGCTTTGGATACATTTCCAAAGTGCATCAGTGCTTGGCTTTCCATGCCCTGGTCTCATTTTGATGTGTCTCCTATTCTCTCTCTTGGAAAGGGTGCCTGTGCACTGGAGGGTGATGTCCCACTGGGCATGCTGTGGTTGTGTCAAATTTAAATACAGTCCTTACCCAAAATACACTTTCTCCAGCTCTGCTTGTTCCTCTGCCCCAGCTCAAACAAGGAATCAGTATCACTGTACCCTGCTTTTTGCACTGGCAGGGGAGGACTGTGCTGGATCCTGCCCCTTTTCCTCTGACTGGCCAAGGAACCAAGGATGGAGGAGGAAGAGGAGAAGGTGCTGTGGCTGCAGTGCCCAGCCCTTCTCTGGATGGCTGCCTCTGTATTCCAGTGGATGTTGGCAGGGCAAGGTGCTCTGGGGCTTTAGGAGCCTTCAGGCAGCACTCCCTACCCCAGCCCTGTGTCTCATCCATGTGCTGGCAGCTGCCACAGAAGAGAAGAGTTGTGCCCTCCTGCTTTAAGACATCCCTGGCCAGATACATTTGGGTTGTCTGGAGCTGCTAAAAGCCCCTCATGGTGCAGTCACTGCCTCTACAGGCATAGCCTGAGCAAGAGAAAAGGAAGCACTGCAGGCAGGTGCATTGTCCAGACATTCCTTAGCAGGCAAAGCTTCAAGGCCTTTGAGGTTTCTTAGGGACATGTGAGTACACAGGCACTACGTGATGTCCAGTCACCTTGAGCCAGGGCACATCACTGGGGAAAGGCAGTGTGGCAAACCCCCCTCACCAGCTGCCACTGCAGCTCTGGCTGGGACATCCCTGCCTGCAGAAACTGGAGAGTTTGTTCTTTGATGATCTGTGCTTAAAACTCCTGTGCAGTATCTTCTTGTCTTGGAATTATCATTGCCTGAGTAATTCTCTGCACTCCAGGTGGGAATAACTGCAGGCTGTGATGCATTTAGTGGATGAATGGTCTAAATAACATTTTCATTTCAGCTGAAGTCAGAGTCATGAGCCCCATCCTCACCTGGCACTGAGCAGAGCAGGTTTACACCTTACCTCCCTCTCATCTTTCCCCTGGAGCTCCTAAATGATATCCCCTGGTTCCTCCCACACCTGCACACTTCAGTTTGCTGACTGCTGTGAGAAACTTTGTTATTTTTGGTCTCGTGAAAATAATGTTTCTAATATCCTGCCTTTTAAAATCTTTCTGTGAGACCAGACAGTTCATGATCATCCTAATCCTGGTCCTTTGGGATCAAATGCCATGAAAGCCCTAGAGACAGCACACAGCCATGAAAATCAGCAGCTGTGACCTTCCTATTGGGAACCTGCCAGATGTATCAGATGTTCCAGTGCTGGGTTTGTTTACTAAAGGCTGATACTGACTTTGGGCTGGGGAAATACCAAACTGAGGAAAAGTTCCTCCTCAAACCTGAGATCCTGAGTCTTCTGCAACAGAGAACCTTGAGCAGCCCAGCTGGGCAGTGGCAGCTCCTTGTGGGTGCAGTTCTCCTGTGTCACACAGAGCTGGTGCCTGAGCTGCCTCTCTGCTCCTCACACTGGGTGTTCTCCTTGCCTGTGATGGTATCTGAGCATCTGAGTTGCTTCTGCTGGATGTTTGCCACGTCTCTCCTCTTCCTTTCCAGTCCCTGCTGTGAAAGAGGCTTCCCCCACCCTTTTCCTACTCTGTGCAGAGACATTACAACAACGTAGCAGACATCCTGCTCAAGAACACTTGACCTTATGTCATCTCTCTAATTAGAAGTTAGGATCAGCCTCATCTTCCATGGCAGCACAGACTGGCCCAGCGCTGGCATTTCCTCAGGGAAGAGGCTGCTGGTAAGGCTCTGTCTCTGATTTATCCTCAGATCCATATTATCCAGAGCAGCCATTGGATGAGAAGTAGTTAAAAATTCCAGATCTCCCATTCCTACCACACACCCTTTATAGCAGGCAGCAAGCAGGCTTTGCCAGCCATCAGTCAGACTCTAATCTTAAAGACCTTCTTTAATACTGCATTTCCTTATTATTATTTATCCCACCTTTTGGTTCCCAGTGCTTTATTCTTTACTTAGGCAAGGGGTTTGTGAAGGAAAATGTGAGCTGCTGCATGAAAAACTCTATCCTAGAGAGAAATTCTGCCTTGGAGAAATACTTTCTTCCTCTAACCAGGACAGCATGTGACAATGCTGAAAGGAAACCTCAGTAATTACACTGCACTGAAGGCTCTGGTTATGGGTTTGGGAGTTTTCCCTGATGCTGCAGCTGGACTGTGCCCTATTCAGGCCCACACAAAGACTCTTGCACAAATGTATAACTCATATGTTGATTTTCAGTAGTGTAAGGCAGGAAAAGCTGCATTTCACCCTGCAGAGAATGAGCTGCTTTCCTTCTGCCCTGTGCTGCTTCTTCCTGCTGCTCCAACACCATCTTTTTGCTTAACTCTCACCCTCAGTGGTTTACCCTTTATGCTTAGACCTGCTGGTTACACCACCACAGGAAACTGGTGGAAGTTGTGATCGTCTGGTCCAGCCCCAGCTCACACAGGGCCACCAAGGCTGGTTGCCCAGGACTGTGTCCAGATGGCTTTGGGATATCTCCAAGGATGGCAACTCCCAACACCTCCCTGGCCAACCTGTGCCAGTCCTTGGTCACCCCAGAGTGAAAAGATGTTCCCTGCTCTCAGGCAGGGTTTGATGTGTTTCAGTTCATGTCCCTTGTCCTTATGTTGTGCAGAGCTTAGCAACACTGTAACTCAGGTTGGCTCAGTGAATGTGAACATTATTTCAGTTCTGTGTCATCTCTGCTCCTGTTCCCCCTCTTCAGGGACTGCTCAGTAGCCCCTTTGCCTTTTGGGGGCTAAAGCCTTGGTTAGGGGGATGCCTGTGCATTGACTCAGATCCCTGACCTGCTCCTTGGTCCTTTTCCAGAGCAGAGAGCACTTTCTCTCCATCCACACTTCTGCCTGTGCTGAGCTCACAGTAGGAGCTCGGGGGGCTTGGGCAGTGTCCAGGTCTGCAGTGTCAGAGAACAGCCTGAGTGTGGTCACCTCCAAGAGTGAGTGTGCTGTGCACACACAGGGGATGGGTCTGGATCTCAGCTGATCCTCCACATGACAGGAGGCCACAGGGCTTCCCAGCAGGATCAGGAGCTTTGGGTGCAGGATAAACACGTTCAGAGCAATCCAAGCCCCACGTGGGCAGCTGATCTGCCTTCCTGCATGAGAACAGAGTGCCCACCACCTTTGCCTCTGGCTCACCATTTTGCATTAGGAGTTGATGGAAGAGTCTGTCGCCTTTGGCTCCAGTCCTTAACCACGCCTGGGCCTCAAACCAGGAGTGCTCAGACTCTCCATTTACCATTTCAGCAAGCTAAATCTGAGCAGTGCTCCTGCACTGATGAGTGCTGCAGGTGACAGAACAGCCCCCTGTGTTCCCAGGCAGGTGCTGGGGCTGGGAGCAGTGGAGGTGTTTGGGGGAAGCTGCAGAACCCAGGCCCAGCTTGGGGCAGGGATAGGCTGCAGCTCCTCTCCCATCCACTGTGTTTTTTAACATCTGGCACTGGGGAAGTTCGTGAGAACTTCACAGCTCTTGTAATCAATCCTCCTCAGTGTTTAAGTAAAGTATTATAAAAGAGCACTGACTCATTGAGAGTTTCATTAAAAGTGTGTGAGTGTTTGTGAGTGAGGTTTGGCAAGGAAGTTAAAACCCACTGTGCATTTCTCCTTCCCTCACGTGAACCACCAGGCGTTTAGCAGGAGCAAAGTGCTCCCGCAGCAGTGACACAGTGTTTGTTTCAAATGTCACCACTAACCCCAGCTGAAGGTGACTTCCTTCCCACTGCAGCCCTGATGTGAAATGCAGCCTGGTGATGTGAAACACAGACCAGTCCCTTGAACCAGTCCAGGAACAAGCTCAGGAACCACACTGGCTTCAGGCTCATCACAACTCCAGTTCTGCAGGCAGGAGTGCTGGGCAGGTCAGTGACATTGCCAGCAGGTCAGTGACATTGCCAGCAGGACAGTGACATTGCCAGCAGTGCCATTTGCAGCAGGGATGAGGGATGCTGCACATACCAGTGCTTGTGTGTGAGTTTAGGGATGGAGAGCTTTGTTCCACTGATAGGTTTTATTGGTTAATTCAATCTTTTAATCAGATCTTAAATGGATTTTGATTACATGAGAATAAAGATGTTGGGAGGAAAATCCAGCCCTTCCCTCTAGTTTGACTTGCTGCTGAGCATGGTGTGGCTGTCAGCAGCACAAGGACGGGGCAGGGCAGCTGCTGGAGGCTCAGCTGATCCAGGCAGGCTGTTCATCCCCATCCCAGGGCCTGGCTGGGCAGTTCCTCAGCCTCTGCTCTCACACACAGGGGTATTTCAGCACTTGTCTAGCTATAATTGCTCTGCCAAGGCTAAACCGCAGAGCTTGTGCAAGAAGGATCCAATGAATGCCACCTCAGGCCTGGGAGATGGTTGAGGTGATGCTCCTCCAGCTCTGGGTGTTCCTGCGATTCAGAGAGGGTTCCTTGGTTTCCTGTGAACCTGCCCATGTGGTGTGTTCAGTGTGAGGGGGCAGGATGGGGGACAATCCTCTGCAGCACAGCAATCCGAGCAGGAGCCTGCTGGGATTCCCAAGCTGGGCCTAGGAATGACAGGTCCTTCTGGCCACTCCTTCCCTCCTCACACCAGAGCAGTTTTTCCCTTGAATTCCTTTCCTTTCTCCTTTTCCCTCTCCCAGCTGTCACGGCTGTGACAAAGTCCCCACATTGCAGCAAGCCCCTGCCAAGGTCACCCCTCTGCCAGGATTGCCCCTCTGCCTCTCACCTCTTGCCACAATTCTCACCCATCTGGGCTCTGTTTGGTTTCCACCATCCCACCAAAGACGAGAAATCCCTTGAATGAGTGAGCCATAAACAGGGCTTTGGCTGGCCCTGTGCAGCAGCAGGATTGAAATCCACAAGCTGAGAAAAGAGAAGCAAAATAGAGGAGATTCCTGCCCATCCTCCTCCTGTCCACTTCTATTGCTTTGGATCCAATGGACTGTTGGACAGAAATGAGGCTTTTCTCTTCTCCTGGGGAAAACAAACATCCACAGGTCTCCCCTTTCCCCTGCTCCACTCACCAGGCTGTGCCCTGGTGTGGCTGTTTCTGCACAGGCTTTACCCTCCAAGCCCCTTTACCCTGGGAATGCAGTGGCCAGGAATGGCAGTGGCTGCAGGAGGACATCTGCTCTTTGGGTTTGCTTTAGCTGCTATTTCATTTTCCTTTGCCAAGGCTCTCCCTGTCCTTTGGCAGCAGCTGTGGGAGCTGGGAGAGGGCACAGAGGGGCTGTGTTTGGCCCCTGCCAGTGGAGAAACCAAACAGAGCAGCTGAGGGTGAGGATCCCCTTGGCCCACAGGACACAAACCTCTCACCAGAACAGCCTCCCACAAAGGGATTCAAAACTTGTGGCTCCAGGGCAGCTCAGGAGCTCAAATCCTCAGGCTGTGGGAGAGGAGAGTGAGCCAGACTGAGACCACTGAGGAGGGGATAGGACCCCCCTCCCTGTGAATGTGGAGGGAACAACTCTGGAGCAAGTCCAGGGGAACCCACGGAGATTCCCCCAGGGCTGGAGCCCCTCTGCTCTGGAGCCAGGCTGGGAGAGCTGGGGGTGCTCACCTGGAGAGGAGAAGGCTCCAGGGACACCTCAGAGCCCTTCCAGGGCCTAAAGGGGCTCCAGGAGAGCTGCAGAGGGACTTGGGACAAGGGATGGAGGGACAGGACACAGGGAATGGCTTCCACTGCCAGAGGGCAGGGATGGATGGGATATTGGGAAGGAATTGTTTCCTG